TGGATATAACAAGTAGAAAAATATCATTTTGGACTTACAAAATTTACTCATAGATTTTACTCTCTTACAAATTTTTGTTATAGACATTTTTATTGAGACCCACAAAATATAATAAAAGATAATCAATCAATGTTTGCCAGGAAGTAAAAGTGAGGGAGTATGTAGAATTTCGGAGTCTATGTAATAGAACTCGAGCAAGTAATAGTAGTATCACAAGATTGCATTTTTTTAATTATTGAAATGATCCATTGATTATAGTGAAATTATAAATTTGATTCTTGATAATATTTTTGCCTAATTAAGTCCTCAACTTTACAAATTTTAACCAATTTAGTCATATGTTTGTATAGTCGTCAGATTTTAGTTTACTCGGGATTAATTGGAAATTTTGTTATAGTTAAGGAATCATTTCGGTCATCACATGTACTATTTCCTCTCCTATTAAATCAAAGAGTTAATTATTGAAATGGTCCATTGACTATATCAAAATTATCAATTTAGTCCCTAGTAAACGAAAGTCTAACAACTAAACAAACGGATGACCAAATTGATTAAGATTTTTAAAATTGATGACTTAACTAGACAAAAAAATAATCAAGTATCAAATTTATAATTTCACTATAATCAATGGATCATTTCGATAATTAACTCTTAATTTTATTTTGGAGAAAATTTCAATTTTGGTCTTATAACTATAGGAGCTTTGTTAATTTCGGCACTTAACTTTCAAAAGTGTCAATTTAGTACCTTGAGTATGTAATTTTTGTCAATTTTGGTCACTCCGGCCAAATTTCGCCGAAAAATTTTAATAGGTAAAATAATGAGGGTATTTTAGTCATTTTACCATTTTTCCTTTCTTCTCGACCAAAGAGAGGGATTAACAAGACCGCGGTGAGGACGGCGGCCACGGTGAGGACGACATCTCTTTCTTCTCTGACGAGTGGAATAGCATTGGCCGGCCGCACGGAGTCCGCCGAACACCTTCGTGGTCCTTGGAGTGCACCGGGGCTAATATCACCGATATGCCGGCCACCTCGTACTTCTTCGGTTGCCTGGTCGGCGAACTCGCACTCACCACGTTCGCCGACACCTCCATTGGCCGAAAGAAAATGCTAGAATGGCTGCAGAACCTTCGATTTGGTCCTCCACGATGGTTCCCCCAACGTCGGTGGTGCTTGGTCTAAGGAGGCTACCAATCAAAATGCTTTGGTCATTGATTCCGTTAAGCTTGCAAAAGTGGCGTTTAGATTTGTTTTGGTTTTAAAAGTGGCCTTGAGCCGCTTCGTCTGTACTTTTGAAGCCGGTAGAACTCGCCGGAAAAAATTGAAACATGATAGACTCGTCGGAGAAGAAGAAAATAGATGTGAAATGACTAAAATACCCTCATTATTCAACTATTAAAATTTTTCGACGAAATTTGACCAGAGTAACCAAAATTGACAAAAATTACATACTCAAAGTACTAAATTGACACTTTTAAAAGTTAAGTGCTGAAATTAACAAAATCCCTATAATCATATGTCCAAAATTGAAATTTTCTCTTTTATTCTGTTTAATTTTTACTTTTTTAGTGTGATGAATCGGGCCACGTTGTGACGAAATGAATGATAATAACCGTATCTCAATCGTTATACCCTACACCACGGCGCACATAGTATTGTGCGCCGCGCGCCTCCCAAAACAACGTCGTTTTGGGAGGCGCGGTAAGAAGTTGCTGGGATTATGTGTATTTGTTCACACAGTTATGTGTATTTGTTCATACAGTTATGTGTATTGGTTCATACAGTTATGTGTATTGGTTCATACAGTTATGTATATTTTTTATACAATTATGTACATTCTTTTTATACAATTATGTACATCCGAATCAGAAAATTTGTGTGTATTATGTTAATAGTTGATGTGTATTATGTTAAAAGTTTATGTTTATTATGTATTATGTTAGATTATGTGTATTATCTTTTAAAAAGAGTATGTATATTGTGTTATATAATTATGTACATTCATGTATACAATTATGTGTATTCTAGTATAACATTATGTACATTCTTGAACAGCGGGTTTTTTTTTTAAGGAAAACTACTGCCATTCATTGGGGCGGAAAATTTCAAAAAAAAAAAAAAATTAAAACGACGTCGTTTTGCATCTGGGCGCATATTGCAACGCACACCGTGGTGTAGGATATAAATTACCACCGTATCTCTTAATCCGAATATGGGCCTAGAGTCGAATCCATTTTGAGACATTTGGGTATGGCCCAATTTGTGAATTTCTCATTCTAAATATTAAATTCACCTGAGTGCACACGTAAGTTTATTAAAAAATTAAATTCTAGCGTCAAGTACATTTAAGTTTGTCAAATTATTTTTTATTAGAGTCAACCAGTTATTAGCAATTTAGGTTGATTTATATCTTTATAAATTTTTACTAGCTAGAGACCTAGAGTCACATTCTTAAATAATGATTTTAGGTTTTCTTCGGCACTTACATGAGCGAGCTATTAATAAAGTCTACACGTTTTCATAGAGTAACTAGTTCTCATATAATCTCGATTATATATAGGTTTAGGATCAGGTGTAAAGAGAGGCTCAAGTAAAACATGCGGATAAATTTGAACTGTTGATATATCCAGATCAACGACTCTAAAAAACATTACGCTTAATTCTAATCTATTGTATTTACATTCTGTTCACATTTGGAAGGATCGCTCAACAATATAATATGCACTGGAAGGTACAAAATGTTCATTAATCTTCACGGGGTTATTAATCCCGTTTCTTTCCCTCTTTCACGGGACTTAACAATGGGTCGGTTGAACATGTTAAACCAACATGTTAACAATGTGCACTGGAAGACACAACAATGTGCACTCGAAGGCAAAAAAATATGCACTTAGCAACGGGTATATATATATATATATATATATATATATATATATATATATATATATATATATATATAGAGAGAGAGAGAGAGAGAGAGAGAGAGAGAGAGAGAGAGAGAGAGAGAACCGTAATATTCAATATCTTGATTCTTGTATGCGAACAAAGGTATGGGAAGAGCTGCAGTATGGCCATTCTGCTCATTGGCCTGTCTTGCTCGATGTCATGCCTTTTATTAGACAATAAAAAATTAAAAATAAAAAAATAAAAAGACATGTATTTGCTTACTTTATTAAATTAGTGGACTGTTTAAAATATATTATTATTTTTGTTGTATTAAATTTAATATTAAAATAGTAATTTTGTATACAATGAATGGGTTCTAAAACATCAATGTTATATATGCGTACACATCTAAATCCATACGAGGAAGAATCGTCTTTCTATTATCACTCCTTAATTATGACAATGGCTCCATTCTTCTTTATTTTTGGACCAATTGCATTTTTCTAAAAGTATGATGTGTATTATTAAAATAACGTTACAAATTTGACCTAAAAATGACTTATTAGTCTTCTTAATTGAGTAAATACCCAAAATGGTCCCTCGACTATAGCCAAATTCACAAATTGGTCCTCAACTTTCAATTTTAACCAATTAAGTCCTTAACTTTGCAATTTTAACACGATTTGGTCCTCCGTCTATTTGACCGTTTGTTGACTGTGATTTTTGAGGATATATATGTAATTTCATGGTCCATCGACGATTTTTTAAGGTTCCGGTTGTTTTTTCATACCACACTGTTACAGTTGGATCCACCGCTGAAAGCAATCTGCCAAATCCTGTCGCATTTCTTCATCCTCCCTTTGGATTCAATGTAGTTGAGTTCGTACCAGAGTGAAGAAGACAACATGTTTCCGAACCGGTGCAACGTCATCCTTTAGGCCTCCATGTGCTCCGATGAGAGTTGCAGGTTCTTCTGGAGATCGTCGATGACGGCGCGGGCGCGGGCGTTAATGCAGAAGTGTTCGAAGGACCAAATCGTGTTAAAATTGCAAAGTTAAGGACTTAATTGGTTAAAACTGAAAGTTGAGGACCAATTTGTGAATTTAGCTATAGTTGAGGGACCATTTTAAGTATTTACTCTTCTTAATTTGAGCTAATTAATAGTCTTTTAATTTTGAACCGATCCGTTATAAACAACCTAAGCTAATTTCCCTTCTTATAATTTTTTTGTCAATTAAGATCACAATGCAAAGTTATCATGTGCATACTCACAATAGTAACTACCGGGTTCTTTTAGGGACGACTCAAAATAAAAATTACTAAAAAACAAATTTAAATATAAATCGTAATTTAATTTAATGTTAAAAACATATATATTATTTTTAGTCGCTCGACTATAATACATGTATCAATTTCAGTCCTTAACTATTTAAATTTTCAAATTACGTGCATGAGTATTCAATTTGTATTACATTTGGTCACTATTAACATTTTTAAATTAAGTGCATGACTATTCAATTTGTATCACATTTGATCTTGCAGTTAAATTTTCCGACCAAATTTTCAACAAAGTCACCGTTGACCGTCTATTTTTTTTAATTTTTTTTTAAATTTTAAATAAAAAAATTAAAAAATTAAAAAAAAAAAATGATAGCTGCCCCCACCCTCCTCCTTCGTCCCCGCCAAGGACGAAGGAGGGGGGCAAAGAGAACGCTGATCACCCCCCTCTTCCTTTGTCTCCGGTGGAGACGAAGGAGGAAGGGGTGGGGTGACCGGTGTTTTTATTATTATTATTTTTTTAAGGTTTTTAATTTAAAAATTACTAAAATAAATTTTAAAATAAAAATTAAATAAATTAGTCGGTCATTTGAAAAATTTAACGATAAAATCAAATGTAATACAAATTGTCAAATTGAATAGTCATGTACCTAATTTAAAAATTTTAATAATGAAAGACTAAAATTAATATATTATAATCGAAGGACTAAATTAAAAAAACTTATTAATTGGTATCAAAGTCGAATGTTAGTATTGTCTTTTAAAAAAAATCGCGATTTTATTATTCTTAATTGATCAAAAAATATCTTGAACTTTTTCTCCAACCTTCGCGCACCTCTACTGTTCTGGTACAATATGGTTCACACAAATATTTCGCAAACTCTTCTGGTGAAGCATTTGAAAGCTATTACACTCACAGCAGTCTTCTGGTGAAGCCTTTGCAGGAAATCAATGGGTTTCATTGTGGGAGTGGGAAATAACTGAAGAAGAGAGAAGTTCAGAGAAAGAAGAAGGCTCACTCTCTCTCTGTGTTTCTTCTTTCTCTGTTCCATGGCTGATGCACTTGGATTTTCTTTCAAAACCTCTTTCTGTTCTGCTGCGAGAATCGCCAAACCGAGGCTTGCTTTTTTATCCAACAGGAGTTTTCGGAGAAGGGTTGGCTTTGCTGCGGATTCTCCTCGTGCTTCCGTTGATTTTGTTTCCAGAATATCCTTCAGACCCACCAAGAAAGTTCCTTCGTTTAAGGTAAAGACTTCAACTTTATTCTGCTAGTTTTCCAATTTTGTATATATACTCGATGTTGGCTGAGGGAGAATTCATAGGAAGGTAGGATAAAAGAACTTTTTTTCCCTTTATTTTTCATTTCAATTTGCTGTGTTCCTTTTTCTTGAAAAAATTAAATAATTATATCTAGAGTTCTTAGAGCAGGTGATCTCTTATGAGTGTGTTGGTGTTCTTCAATTTCCTGTTTGATTCAATGTTCTATGGACTGAGGTATCTTTTCAGTGTGGATTTTGCCCTTATAGCCTTATAGAATCATTACTTATGATTGGTATGTATGCCCTTGCCCTTTTAAGGTGGTCTGTAACTCTTATAAAACATGAAACCTTTGTGGGGGAAAAAGCATTTTAGATAATGTTTTGTTCCTACTATTAGTATACTACTATGTAAAACTGATATCAATAGTTGTAATGAACTTTGCGCTTCAAATTTGACTTCTGTGAAGCAAAGGTCTGAAATTTATATAATTTTTCGTTATATGGATTGAACAACAAGTTGTCACCTCTCAGGCTCTCAAACGAATGGGTGTTTGATTTATGCTAAATGCATTAACATATGCTTGTTTCCTGAGAAGTACTTACGCATGTTCCGTATCTATGTATTTGCTGAAGAGCAATGCTCATGACTTTTTTCTGCATATTGCTCAGGTTCACGCAACCATTGATCAAACTGAGGCTCCAAAGTGGTGGGAGAAAAATGCAGGGCCGAACATGATTGATATTCATTCTACAAAAGAATTGTTGGATGCATTAAGTGAAGCTGGAGATAGACTAGTTATTGTTGAATTTTATGGGACGTGGTGTGCTTCTTGTAGAGCATTATTTCCCAAGGTAACTTTTGTCTCTTTGCCAAATATTGAACTTCGTATAGTGCTTTTTTTTTTTGAAAATTTATGTTGGTAAAGTTCATAAAAGGGTATCAAGTCAACGTCCAATGGTTTTGTTTTTATTGACATTTAATTTGATATTGGTTTTGTCAGCTTTGTAGAACTGCGACGGAGCACCCTGAAATTTTGTTCCTAAAAGTCAATTTCGATGAAAACAAGCCAATGTGCAAAAGTTTGAATGTAAAAGTCCTTCCGAATTTCCATTTCTATCGCGGAGCTGATGGACAACTGGAGTCCTTCTCTTGCTCACTTGCCAAAGTAAGTAAAAGCTCTCAAAAATCATAATTCGTTTATTTTTCGTTGCTTGCACCTTTAAAATCCCGCTTAGACCTGAATTGGTAGGAAATTTGTGGTTATAACTTGGGACAGAACTTGTGGGAACTTTTTCTATTGTTCCATTTTGGCATCTAAGAGAAGTTGCAGCAACATCTTAACATAGAGTCTCCAATGATACATACTAAGTTGTTAATGGCCACTTGTCTTGCTTAACCGATTGCAGTTCCAGAAAATTAAGGATGCTATTGAATTACACAACACGGCTCGTTGCAGCATTGGTCCTCCTAGAGGTTTGGGAGATCTCAAACTCGAAACGCTTTTGACTGCCAAGGATGTCCCGGCAGGATCCTCTTCCCCATCGTAGTTTCTTGGTTCAGTGATCTCTGCAGCATTATATGAGAACATATTTTTTTTTTCTGTATTATAGAATCAGTCATTGAGTGTATAGTTCACTTGAGATAGTCTATTCTTATGTAGTTTATTGTTCTTTTCTGTCAGTAATAATTTACATGCACTAAATTAAACAAAATCCTTTCATGGTCACTGTTAGTCCTTTGTCTTTTGCCAGGGTAAATTGGTATCTTACCGAATTTGTCTATTCTAACTTATTATGGAGTAAACTGACTAGATTAGCTCCTGGGTACAATTCAATTGATTGACCAATTTAAAGCAAAGTTAATAGTTTGCATCGTAATCACATTTGCAATTTCAAATCCTATCAAGGGTGGAAGTGCAACTTGAGATATTGCAATTTGTTCTTTCGCCAAAGTTTTAGGTCAAGGGCATGTGAGGACTCTTGTTTCTCTCAGTGTGTGGACTTGAATCTTAATCGAGGCAGAAAGTATGGATAGATTGCATTGTTTTTTTTGGTAAAAGGGAGGGACCGATTCCCGATCGCATTGTTAATACTAGTGTACAAATATTTGTACATTTCATTAAAAAAAATGATTTTTTTATATCAAAAAATGAGGACCGTTGAAAGTGTGCACAATTGAATCTTAACAGGGAGAATAGTACGGATATGCTCCATTGTTAATATTAGTGTACAAATATTTGTACATTCCATAGAAAAATATGATTCTTTTTATTGAAAAAATGAGGACGGTTGAAAGTGTGAATTCGAAAAGCCGATTTTACATTTTTACACATTCTACACGTTGGGAGGAAGAAAGATGAGATTTGATCTGAAAGTGAAAGTTTGGTGGGACCTTAAATAATTTTACCAAACAATGAAAGCAACCCAGTTTGACAGCATAAGGAAATGACAGTGGGACAAAATCACAAAATGCATGAAATTGAAGGGTTAAAACTCAAAACCTGTAGATGCTGTACAGATCATGCATCAAGATTCCATGTCTCTTTCTTTCACCAAACACCCATTTACCAATTGGACTCAAAGTTACTCAAATTGAAAAGGTTAAGTAAATAGCCCTTCAAAGAAAGGTAGCCAAGAATATATATTTTTTGAAACAAGCCAATAATATATATATATATATATATATATATATATATATATATATATAGTAGAGTCCAGGTACGGTCACGCCTTAACGTGCGGTCGCACCAATAGTTATGCAAATATGCACCAACAATGATTGACAATGCACAATAAAAAAAATGTACAAATTAGGTATACATCACCAAAAACGCACCATTTGGTATGCATAAAAACATCACACAGTGTTCGAAAATGTACAATTAGGGATGAGGAGTTATGATACATTTTTTAAAAAAAATTAGTGTTGTGCATTTTTTTGTGTATTTGTGCATTTCATTGATGTGTACTTTCCTAACAGTATTGGTGTCTTTTGTTAACACTATTGATGCTTTTTTTCAGCGGCTGCATTAATTGCACGGAAAGGCATGATCGCATTTGAGTAAAAGTCTATATATATATATATATATATATATATATATATATAGAGAGAGAGAGAGAGAGAGAGAGAGAGGGGGGGGGGGGGGTTGATGGTAGAGGTTAAGGAAGTGAGTTTCAACCATAGATTGGACAATGTAGAGTCATATCAAGAATCTTGAAGAGCTAATGGATTATTTTAATTGAAAGTTGAGAGAATTGCACGCAACAGAGGAAGTTCCGTAGGATCAATACATTGCACACAAAGTCTATCATGAAGTTCCATGTATCTTTCATTGCTTTAAAGAGCAATCATAATATGATTTTTGCTCAATTTTTTAAAAAGAAAAAACTAGAAATTGAATTTTATCTAATGGAAAAAGAATTTATTGACTAAAAAATTTTATCCTGTAAATATAATTTTTGGGTAGAGTCTACTTTTAGGGGAAAGAGAAAAACTTGTGCAGATTATTGCGCGCTTAGAAAGCGTGTGCATTGTATGCGCCTTTGGGGCATAATGCATTTAGTTTTTATTTTATTTTATTTTTTGTTGAAATTTATTATTTGTCTTTTTTGTCCCATTTTTTCCTTTTCTCACTTGCTTCTCTCTCCTACATGACTTGCAAAAAACTTACAAAACCTACCACTATTGAGATTGGTCTAAAATTCATTAGCATTTAAACGCGATTTTATTAACTATTTTTATGCAATTGGTTTACATTGGGAATTTCTAAGGTGCCAAGGTGTCATTTTTAACGGCACAACCACTCATGATATCACAAATTCACAATATCATCGGTTTGCACCATGTATTGTAGAGAGTAGAGATAAGTATTGACAATTGACAATACTTAGTACAGTACAAATAGTATACATGATTGTAGATGGTGCGGGGTAACCCAAGTCAAATTGACTAAAAATACAAACTTGTAATCATAAGGTTGCGGGTTCGAATCCAAGCTTTTTTTGTTTGAGCCGATTAGCTATAGACAACCTATGCTAATTTACCTTTTATGAGCCAACTAAAGTCACAAACGAGATTTACTCAATGCACACATCCTTAGTAGTGACTGCTGGTTTCGCTAGTCAGCATAGGGATTCCCGTTTTACATATTCAAATGTTGATAACGAATTGTTAATTTTATCAAGCATATATGTACAAACAACTTTACAATCAGCTAATTAGAGAAGCGTAGGGGATAATCACCAAACAAGCTCAAAGATATCTTCACACACATTGGCAAAAGCTGAAAAGCAGGATGCAGAAAAGATAAATTAGAGCCCCTCAAGCCACAATTTATTTAAAGTTTAACCTCAAATTCTTTGTCATCAAATGAGCAATTATTAGCCATTTGAAACATTAAAATACTCAAAAGAGCCACAAAGTAAAGGCAAACCTAAACAGCCCCCATAAAGAGAGGTAATAGGGGCAAAGCACTGGGCATTGGTGGAGTAGTGCTGTAGTGGTCCATGAGATTCATAAGACAACAGTTTCTGCAACTCAAGAAAAGCAAAAATGATGGGACTGTCTTTTATAAAGTCTTGATAAGAATTGGAGTTCCATCTCAGAATGCTCCATCCTCGAACCATTTATAGCACAGAAATGCATGAATGCTGTATCAAGAAAGGTGATTATGCTTTTTTCCTCTGCCTTTCTGACTCAAAAAAGTTAAAATATGGAAGACAACAGGAGAAAGCAATGCCAAAAATGAAAAAGGAAAAGAAGAATCCAGCAAGTATAACAAAGTAGCAATAGTTGCCCGCACGGACATCTCAGTTAGTTCTTGGGTTGTAGATTGTGGGCAAAGAATACATTATCGAATTCTGACAACCACCTAATGGACCACCATAATGAGCCGTTGAGTCATCCTGATTTACCCCTCCATTATCCTATCAGACCGGGGTGTAGTCTGTAGGGCCCTGGGAGCGAGAAAATTTCACCTTTATGGGCAAAGTAGCAATAGTTATCCAATCCACATGTGGTGGGCACCAAACACTGGTCCTCCTACCTAATGGACGACTTTAATGAGTCACTGAGGATTTACCATTATCCTGTGAGACTGGGGTGTGAGAGCCTTAGAGGCGAGGGAATTTCACCTTTATGGGCAAAGTAGCAGTAGTTATCCAATCCACATCACCCAAAGTGCATGTGCTAACAACAACTATACAGGCAATAAACTACAAAAGGATGCACAATAAATGTACCATTCATTCTGAATATAAATTTGGTTCATCCAGAAGATGGCAGAGGTCTTAATTAAACAACAAATTAACAGCATGCTTCTTTTCTCCCATACCTTGTTCAACAGCCAGTATGCATGGCCCTGGGAATTTTATATTCATGAATTAGGTGTTGACTCTAATTTAAAACACCATTGCTATTCCAATTCATAGAATCTAATTGATCGCTTAATCCCAATCTAGCTCTTGTCGGCCATATGCGTTATGCAGTACATTTCTCTGTTCATCTCCTGTCCAGATTCTTGAGCTGCTAAAATATGCACCATATATAAGTCAATATAGGACAAAAGTTTAGATATACACATGCTTAATAAATATGAGAATCTTGCCACCCTCATCTAAGCGGTCCCACAAAATTTGACTCTGGTGCCCACAAGGACTACATCGGGTGTAACTTTGATCTCAATCTTGAGTTGTTGCCCACAATCTAACACTCATAAACTAACCGAAATAATTAAGGTCATGCAATTATTTAGTGCAATGTAAGACAAACAAAGAGAAACCCAAAGAACAAACTGGATTTATTTCTCTTTTTTTTTTTAGTCATTGATTCACAATTCTGATTGGTACTTGTACAATGTGAAGTCTAGAATAGCAGAATATTGAACAGAGGAAGCTAGTGGCAATCAAACTCACATCAATTTGGAGCCTTTTTACAGAAATTTGCAGTGGAAGAAGAGCAGTGGAACACCTTGAGTTCACACTTTGGGGAAACAGCCTTCAACAGCAGCCTGGCAGTGTCTTCTTGCTTCACTTTTGCCTCTTCCTTTTCCACCAGAGCCGCCGCCACAATCTGGTCATATCCACCTCCCCCTCCGGCCACAAAGGCAATCAATGCCGCCTGAAATGGGCCCAGTGTCGGATTATATGCCGCCGATTCAGCATAAGAGCCCTTGTAGACTTTCCCTTCACAGTCCATCAATGCCATCCCTGAAGGGCAATTTGTGTACGGCGCGTGTGATTCATTGGCAGCCTCCATAGCTGCGGCCTTCAAAAGGGCTGAATTGTTGCTAAACCCATTGCATAGATTATGGTGATCGTTCTCGGAGAACCCATTGCAATTGCTGAGATTTTGATGGTTTTCTCGATTATCATCGGAAATGATGGGAGTTAAAGACAAGGCATTGTGGTGAGGCTCGAGAAGGAGGGGGGTTTGGTCGTCGAGGAGATCATAGGGCCCGAACTGGTTGGGGAGGAATTGGGATAAGGGTTTGAAAGTGACATCAGAGATTTGTTTGTTTTGGGATGTGACGAGGATTTGGATGGCGGAGGAGTTCCGAAGCTCTTGGAAGAACTGGCGGCAGTGGCCGCAGGGGGCGGCGGAGACAGCGAGCGCGAGCAGGCGGGGACAGCCGTGGGCTTTGAGGCTGGTAACGAGGAACTGCTCGGCGTGGACGGAGTGGTGAAGAGGGAGGCCGGGGAACTCGAGGTTGACGCCGACGAAGACGCGGCCGTCGGAGCCCAATCCCACGGCGGCGACGTGGTAGTTGGAGATTGGCGGCCTGGCCAAGGCCTGGGCCGGACGCACAAGCGCCGGGAGGAGGTGGCGGACGGAGGGGAGGGCTAGTGATTGGGCCATGGACTCAGCCTCAGCTGCTTCAATCACAAATCTGGGCTGATCCATTTACACAAACTATGATATGATTGTAGTGATTAAGATTTAAGAAGAAGATCAGAATTTCTCAAAAGAAGAAGAATATCAGAAGATGGAGCAAGGGAGGTTATATACATGGAGGGACTGGAGAATATATAGAGTTGGTTGCACATGAAGGAAGTTCTACTTTTCCTGTTACATTATTTAATAATTATTATTCAATTATGGGGACTATATTTTTGGTGTGAATGAAATCGGGTCAATAATAGGTATTCTTTATTGGATCGGATACCTATATCTATATAATAATAAAAAACTTATTGTCCAAATTTATGATCCAAACTCAAAGACATGATAAATTATTATGTGAATCCGGATCCTGCAAGTTAGATATTTTATAAAATGTTTATAATTTACATATTAAATATTCACAATTCAAATTGTGAACATTCAATATATAAATTGTATATTTTCGATTCGAGCCTATCTTACACAATGGACCTAAATCTATGATATAAATGGACATTTTAGTGAAAACACTTATTTCATTAATTAATCATATATATATAATTTTTTATTATTTTCAAGTCTCCATTAACACAAAAAATCAGCACAAACTTAACCATTGATTTCATTAATTAACACACACCCCTCCCTCTCTCCTCCCCTCTCTATATATATATATAAGGAGAAGTACAAGTATATAATTGTGTTCAATATTACTTACACATATATTATTAAAAGTTCTTATTTTATTGACTAATCAAACAAATTTTAATGTTTTTTTATTAGGAGTACAATGTACTTGTACTTCTCCAATAATGATGGAAAAATAATAATTGCCTTGTCCGTTATGGGCTCCTTGTGAATCATAATTCTTTTCAGAATCCCAACTCTAAGACCCTCACACTCCGACCCAATAAAGTATTTGGAAGAATGTAAATCATGGTAACTCAATTGAACATGAACCACAAAGGTTAGACCTTTGTCTACTGCGCACAAGGAGTCTCCCTCACTTTGAAAGGTTGCTCCTACATTGTCATTGGTGAAACTTGATCCCTTGTGAATTATAATTCTAATTATAAAAAGAGTTAATTACTGAAATAGTCCCTTGAATATAGCGAAATTACTAATTTGGTCCTTGAATATTTTTTTAACCAATTAAGTTCCTCAACTTTAAAAATCTTAACCAATTTGGTTCTTCGTTTGTTTGACTATTAGTCAACCGTTAACTTGGGACCGAATTGGTAATTTTGCTATAGTTAAAGGACTATTTTGGTAATTAACTTTAGGGGTGGTCAATTCGGTTTAGTTTTCTCGAATCGAACCGTACCAAACCGAACCGAACTAGTTTGGTTCGGTAATATACCGAACAACCGAGCGGTATTGAATTTTTTTATACCAAATGGTTTGATAAAAAATCGATCCGAATTGTTCGGTAAAAAATTGAACTGAACCGAATACCGTTTGATTTAATAATAATAATAATAATAATAATAATAATAATAATAATAATAATAATAAATAAATAAATAAATAAATAAATAAAAAGTAAATCCAAGTCCCTTACTGCTTGCTCTGCCGTTTAGCTCATATTTTCACGGTTTCTCTCGTAAATGTTTTATTTGATTTCTTTATGGGTTGTTATCAAAAGTTCTATATTATGTGTTATGATGTTTATATAGTCCATATTCAAAGTCTAATATATAACAAAATAACAATCCAAAGTTCAAACGGTATTCGGTTCGGTTCGATTTTTACCAAACAATTCAGTTTGGTTCGAGTTTTCATTGAACCGTTTGGTATACAATAATCTATTATCGTTCGGTTGTTCGGTATATTACTGAATCTAACTAGTTTGTGTTGGAAAATTAGCTTAAAATGACATAAAATGGCATTATAAGTGGCTACCTTGTGGTACAATTATCAGTGGGGTCCACTTCCGATTTGGGTCGGGTCAAAGTGGATTCGTGTTCTTCGTAGTGAGACGAAGAGATTGATATATTGTACGCTCAAAACGGATAATGGGTGAATGAGATATTGATTCTCAAAGTAGACCCATTTAAGTTGGGAAATGAAGGGAAAATGTAGGACTTTGTCCCACATTGGTTTGGAAACAAGATTTGCCCCCCTTATATACATGAGCTCTTTTCAAGCTTGTAGAATTGTATAGCATAGAGGCTCTCTCGCGCGGGGGGGGGGGGGGGGTGCAAATCAAAATCCAACTAGAGGACATTAAAAAGGCTTGAAATCAAGCCCGAGCTCGCGTGCGCCGGCACCTGCGGGCACGAGAGGTTGTGGTGCACCGAGAGCACAACTCCGTGTTGCTGGTCCGTGTGAACCTGCACCCCAACGGTCTGAAACCCGAAAGTTCAGCCCGTTGTACAGATTAAACTCATCTGTTACGGAATTAATACTATTTTAAATTCTGAGTTTAATCCTACTTAGTGGGTGACCGTTACAGGTGTTACACAATTGGTTTTAATCCCAATTTACTGCCATGTTGAATGCTATCCCTTCCAACGAGCCCTATATAAAGAAGAGGTTGGGCAGAAGCATTTTACACACACACAGTGAGAAAAACGAAGGAATTCCAGTATAGTTTTCAGCTTCAAAACTTCTGCTTCTACTCTCTTCTTTCCCCAGCTGTGTTCCAGCTTTGTTTTGTTCGCCGGACTCTTTGTTTAGGTGCTTAAACAAAGAGTCATAGCACGTTTTATCCTGGGAAACCTAGGCTACAACGCTCCTAGCACTTGTGGGAGGTAGCAAATAAGGTTTTAAGGAAAAGAACCTTGTGTTCGAACTCGTGCTAAAGCCTTCACCCAAACACTCAACTCTTTTCCTTTCCGGTTTTTCTGTTTTCCCTAAGTTATAATAATTTTCTGTAGAATTATTATATTTGGGGATTTTTCACCTTTTTACCCAACAGTTTGGTACGGTTCGATTCTAGAAAACTAAACCGAATTGCCACCCTTAAAATTAATTACCAAAATGGTCCCTTGACTATAGCGAATTACCAATTTGGTCCCAAGTTAACGGTTGACTAACGGTCAAACAAACGGATGACCAAATTGGTTAAGATTTTTAAAGTTGAGAGACTTAATTGGTCAAAAAAATAATCAAGGATCAAATTGATAATTTCGCTATAGTCAAAGGACCATTTCGATAATTAACTCTTATAGAAATATATCATCAAATTTTCCACGGTGCCATAAATTTTGTATTCTCATTTAAAAAATAATGTAAATAAAATAATTTTAATTACATTTTTTTATTTTTTATTTTTGAAGTACAACATGACACCATAAAAAATGGTGTGGGTACACATTCAGATTTCAGAATATATAATTATATACTATGGTGATCATGATAAGGGTTAAAGTTAATTGAATACTTGAATTCCAATGTTAGGAGAAACTTTTCTTCTAAATCGTCCAATGGGATTGATTAAATTGAAAGAATTTGCATATTTAATAAATTTATCTTTTTTAGTCACAAGTTAACAATTTTCATATGATTTCGTTATTTTAAATTAAATAATAACAATATATTATATTAAGAGTTGCCATCTTAGTTCGAGTGGATGATTATGATAATATTTTTTTGAATACATAGAGAGGACTAAAAATTAAAAGTTAAAAATATATAAAACGATACTTATCATACCAAGTCAATACCGTCTTCACTAAGGCTCAAATTCATAACCTCCCACTTAAAAAAAGTCACTTTATATTGTTGAGCATATAACCATTAATGTGCAATCCAACTAACAGCTTAGACTTTTAGTTGAGAAGGAGCACATGCTTCAATTTGATATCAGAGCCAGAGATTAAGATCTACGTGCTGTTTGGAACTGATCAAAAGTAATCGATCTGTACATGGTTAATGTGCAATCCAACTATCAGCTTGACATATCAATTAAGGATCTAAGAACTCATTGATGGTAATGATAATTTATAATTGAGTTAATACCCAAAATGGTCCCTCGACTATGCCATAATTACCAATTTGGTCCTCAACTACTATTCTTACCCAATTAAGTCCTCAACTATGTAACTTTTACTCAATTAAGTCCTCAACTATACAATTCTTACCCAATTTAGTCCTCTGTATTAATTTGACTGTTTGTTGACTGTCAAAAGTCGGGATGAAATTATAATTTTACAAGATTTCTCCTTCCTCTCCATTTAGCAGCGCCAAACCATGCAGCAATACACTCCGATCAGATTTCGATCGTCAAAAAATCATTGGAAATCAAATTCATGGGTTATCCGATGCATAACCACTACTTCGATACTGACAGGTTTAGAACCCAACCGGAGCTTATTGCTACATGGTTTGGCGCTGCTAAATGAGGAGGAAGGAGAAAACTTGTAAAATTACAACTTTATTTCCACTTTTGACAGTCAACAAACAGTCAAATTGACAAAGGACTAAATTGAGTAAAAATTGTATAGTTGAGGATTTAATTGGGTAAGAATGATAGTCGAGGACCAAATTGGTAATTACGACATAGTCGAGGGACTATTTTGGATATTAACTCTTTATAATTCAACAACGTGATACAAATAAAATACAACATTAAGGATATAATTTCAACTAGAGTAAATACCCAAAATGGTCCCTCGACTATAGCTAAATTCACAAATTGGTCCCCGAGTTTCAATTTCAACCAATTAAGTCCTTAACTTTGCAATTTTGACAGGATTTGGTCATCCATTATTTGACTGTTTGTTGACCGCGATCTTCGAGGATATATATGTAGTTTCACGTGCAAAGCTCAAGAGAACGCTCTTGGAAGTGACATAATTGTTTCGGAGGGGGAAGTGCTTCTCCGCTTGCTGCTTGGGGATCACGAGCCGGTTCAGCTTAGAGAACGCTCTTGGAGGTGACAGCGCCGTTTCGGAGGGGGGAAGTGCTTCTCCGCTTGTTGCTTGGGGATCCCGAGCCGGTTCAGCTTGCCTACATCGCTTGGAGTCATGGCTTTCTCGAAGAGCCACTCCAGGGACTTCGGCGATCTATCTATCAAAAGCTATAATCTCTCCGGCATGGGATGCATCGCCGTCAATGGATTTAAATGTAACAGTGCGGTCTAGAAATGCAACCGGAATCTTAAAAAACCGACGATGGACCATGAAATTACATATATATCCTAAAAAGCCCAGTCAACAAATGGTCAAATAGACAAAGGATCAAATTGTGTTAACATTGCAAAGTTAAGGACTTAATTGGTTGAAATTAAAAGTCAAAGACTAATTTGTGAATTTAGCTATAGCCGAGGGACCATTTTGGGTATTTACTCTTTCAACTATATATCTTGCCATTCTACTATTCATCGCTGATGGTCAAGGTGCAGGCGTTTAATTAGACTATTAACTTGTCAATTGCTTTAAGGTGGAATGTAATGCTAGGAATGAGAACATTAATAATTTTTAGAATCTCATGTTTTTGACCGTCATCTTAAAATATATAATATTTTTTCAAAGTAATAAGAGAAACGCAAAGTTATTATTCGAGAATATATATTATATTGAATAAATTATTGAGAATGTATACTATTGTGTAATAACTCGCTAATAAAAAAGATAATCACACTACAAAGAAATCGTGTGACAGATCTAAATAAGAGCGTAAATTTTAATTATAATATTTATATCGTTGTAATTATTTTAGAATAAACAAACAAAATGCCGACGACTTCGATCTGCAAAGTTTGATAGAAATACTATAATAATTGTGTAGATCACAGTCTATACAGTGCAATATGAACCATAAAAAAATACATTATTTGTGTATTAAATTTACAATATACAAAATAATATATTTTTAGTACTTGAATATAATGTACAATTTTAATATATTAAAAATATATTATTTGTGTACAGATTATTTGATACTAGTTGTGAGGACAAATGATGATTGTTACTCGATCTTTCTACTACTCGTCTACTCACATTCATTGATCCTCTTTTCACACAGCTGTTCATCGTGTTGTCGATCTATCAATGTTTCTGCGTTTTTTATCGCAATATTTTCTTTCAAACATTTGCACTAAACGAGAATTAATTCAGTTTGTATACACTGAGACAATTAAAACCATCAACTTGAAGTTGAAGTCAATAGGTTGGGTTCATCTATGGTGGCAGACTGGCAGGTGAATTTGACAAAGATTTTGCCACGTAACGTAAACGCGCACCACAAATGAAATGAGTAATGACCCAAAACGGCACACAAGAAATGTTGGCATAAAATCCATACGAATATATTTTCAAAAACCAAGAAAATGGCCAACCGATTTGGTCTCAGATTACAAAGCAAGATACCCAATTTGGGCGGCGTTTACCCTTCTTTACCTGCGACAACTGCCATTTCAGTTAATTTCGCTTCTGAGAATCATGTTCTTCGACCATCAGGAGTAGTTGTCGGGAAAAGAAGAGTCTTTGGGTACAACACTACTCGCAGGGTGGTTTTAGGAACCGGGTTGTCGTTTTGGTCTCAGTTCATGGCTGCAAATCTCGGAGGGAAATCTTTCATGGCTTATGCTCGACAGAAAGGCGCAATTGAGCAGGTAAATGGAGCTCTTATTTGTTACAGCTTAGGATTGAAAGGGTAGAATTCATTTGTTTAAATCCTAGGAAACCTTACTCACTAATTAAGAGTAAACCCCACACTCTAACCTGCAATAGATCACAAGAATATAAATTTGTTATGCATTGAGTAAACCCCACACTCTAACCGATAAAGAATCATAATAAGGTAAATCAGCTTAGATTGTTGTAGTTTACCGACTCAAACCAAGAAGGCTAATAAGTCATTGTTGCTCTTGTAATTTTGTGGTTATTACAGTTTGACTAACTTGGGTGGGTTGCCCCGTTCTATCTTCTATTTGTTCAAGCATTGATTTTAACCTTGTTACTTTATAGGTGCTGAAGAATGTGGATTGGCCTGAGCAATTCCCTTTCAAGGAAGAGGATTTCCAGCGATTTGATGAGTAAATTCCCTCAAAATTTACTATTCAGTTTGTCCAAAACAAAACCATTGATCAGAAATGTTTTGAGTAACAGTGCCTCAAAATGATGTCTTTGATGAGAACTTTAGATTAAGAATACCACCCTGAAGTTTGGAGAAGTAATTATGTTAGTTGGGTTAAATTGAAACTTCCAGGTCATCGGATTCGTTATTCTATGAAGCGCCACGTTTTGTGACACACATTGATGATCCTGCCATTGCTGCACTTACTAGATATTACTCAGAGGCTTTGCCTCCTGCTAATACCCCAGGAGTAGCAATCCTTGATATGTGTAGCAGTTGGGTAAGATTTTTGTTTTTCTCGCTTTGAGATTGTCTTCGTTAAAACACTTAGTTGATCTTAACCTGTTACGCTTCTTTCGTTTTATCTAGGTCAGTCACTACCCTGCAGGGTATAAGCAAGAAAAAATCGTTGGAATGGGCATGAATGGAGACGAGCTAAAGCGAAATCCAGTAAGATTATACTCAAAAATTTTTGAAATGGGCGCTGTGAGATTGGTTCTCATTTGTGTTTCTTTTCTGGCTAGTAATGATAGTTGTTTAACTTTTGTTCTTTATGAGTATCACTTCCATTTGTCAACTCTGCAGGTACTAACGGAATATGTTGTGCAAGATTTGAATGTCGATCCTAAGCTCCCGTTTGAAGATAACACTTTTGATGCCATTACCAATGTGGTATGTTCGTTTAACAAAATATATATTCAACTTCAAGTGCATATATATTTTTCTCTCTGCTATGGAGGGTTTCAAGACGAGACCTCATTGATTTACATGGCACAAATGAAATAGGATAGTTTAATTTTCTCCTTGTGATCTTTTGGTTTTGAGATTGTGCTATTGGGAATTGTATTGCCTAAAATGAGTGTTATACCTTGCAGGTTAGCGTCGATTATCTAACAAAGCCTATTGATATTTTCAAAGAGATGTCTCGGGTTCTTAAACCTGGAGGAGTTGCGATTATGAGGTAGAAATTTCCCGCCTTGTCACTAGTTGACGAAGAATATAATATATTTTCTCTTTAGACGTAGATTTCAATATATGTTTTACCTTGCATTACACTGTAGTGGAAACCCCGTATTTAGTTGTGGGACGTTTATGTGTACTAGTTTCTCAAACCGATGCTTTTGGACTAAGGCAATATCAATATGGACCTCAACCGGAGATGCTGATCATGTTTTGATAGTAGGGTCATATTTCCATTATGCTGGAGGGTTTGAACCTCCCGAGGTAACTACTTCAATTCTCATCTTCTCTAATATTTTCACAAAGTTTCACGTACAGTTTGATTAGCGTTCTTTGCCTTTAAATGGCTTTTGCAAAATGTCAGTCGTTAAGAATGGCCTGATATAGGACAAGCTAAGTTTGATGTAAAAGTAGTCTTTATGATTGATTCAGAAGGACGATTTTAATTAGGATTTGTATAAAACTTGTGACACCATAAAGAATCAAAGAAACAAAGCAATCCTAGCCAGAGGTCGGATGAAGTTCAAGAAAAACACAATGCAGGGCAGGTGTAGATATAAGAATCGGTTTGATATACTTGCCAAATGTGTTGATTCAGGCCTAGAAATAACAATCTTTTGGGTTTTACAGAAATGATTATTAGCCTGTTGTGTTTTCTGTTAGGGTGTGGATATATCTCCGAACCCCGGGCGTTCAGACCCCATGTACATTGTGTATTCGAGAAAGCTAGCAACAGCGGGCAGGTGAAGCAATGTGTAATTGCATGTTTTAGTGTTCCATCTCCCTGGAGACATGTTTATGTCTATATATGCATCTGTTTCTGTATTCTTTTTTTTTTTGTAATACAAAAGAAAATGACATCATTTTTGACCAATATGAATAGCTTATTAGCTTCTGTTCTGAAAACCATTCATCTAGACCAACCACAATCACCGTTGCTACCTACCACCATTTATATTATTAATATAAATAAATGTTATTATGTTCTAAATAAACAAAACAATTCAAATGTTTAATTATACAATTTTGTATATTTATCAAAAAATGAACTAAACACATCAAAGTCAATTTTTAAAATTGCAACTAAACAATGAAAATTAAAATATTTTATATAAAAAAAGAAATCATTTTTCAGAAGTTATTTTTCAAATTTTCAAACACACCTGATAAGACGGTGTAGAAAATCAAACAAGTGTAGATCCAAAAATGAAGCCATTATCATATGACATCTCAATTTCAGCACCACGGAGCATTGCGTAATTGCGAAATGGCTGAAATTTGCATCTGAAGTCGGCAATTTCGATGAAGAAATTAAAAAAAAAAAAAATTTAAAACTTAAAGAACAAATAAAAATCGATGGGGAGTATAACTGAAAATTTTTGAGTTTAAGCGAAAAATGAACCTCCATGTTACAATTTTGAGTTTAAGAGACTTTTACTCCGTTAATGGAGACCAACGTGTCGTCGAAGTGAAAAATTGTAACATAGAGAATCGGAGAATGACAAAGTCGGGATTTTGGAGCTGTAAGGGAGGAAGCGTGGGGAGGTAGAAGAGAAGGAGATAGATGTGAAGTGGAGTAAGGGGTGTGGCAAATATGGTTGTCCAAAAGCGAAGGCCAAGTCCGGTAGAGAGAAGATTGTGAGGGTGGAGATACCAAAGAAAATTGTGGAAGTGTTTGAGACGGAATGAAAGATACCAATATAAGCTATAAGCTGGATAGTGAGTGACATAGGCCATGTTTGGTAAATGATGGATCTACTATTAACGCTGAAAATTGTGTTTAGACACTGCATTTAGCTGGAGTTTGTGAGCTTCTTGGATGTATTGAGATGAAATTGATGCGACGACGGTGAAGGCGATAGTGAAGAATAGTGGTGTTTTGCAACGAATAAAGAAAAGACACGTGAAGAATATTGGTGTTTTGCAGCGAATAAAGAAAAGACACGTGAATGTCTAGGTGGAATGCTAACTGGTTGAAAAGAGTTCTACTATGTATACTCCCAAATTCGAGCCTTTACTTTTACTTTCTGAAGTGACAAACAACGATAAACTATTTTCATCATGTGAGTCTCCATAAAGTGTTGGCATCAAGAATTTGAGAGTGGGAGTAGAAGTTGAAAGTAAAAAATCGGAGTTTGCATAGTATTTTCGGCCCAAAAAATGATAAAATTGGCAAATTGGTAAGATTACATGAAATGGAATTGTTTGATGGGTCAATTGTAGCTTTCTTTGAGTTGGGTGACCTAATTACAATTTCAGGTATAATTTGATGACCTATTTGACCTTAATTCTAAAAAGAAAAAATTTTACTTTTGATCCTATGACTATTGGAGTATTGTTAATTATAGTCCACAAGTTTCAAAACTTTCAATTTAGAAAGACTAATTGTCCTTGTTATTTTACTATTAAAATTTTCAGGCTACTTTTCACCACTAATTTGACCGAAGGAACTGAAAATCTGAAATTAAAAAAAAAAATTGAATAATTACGATACTAAATTGACAGTTTTAAAATTCATAAACTGCAATTAACAACACCTCAATAATCATAGGATCAAAAATAAAATTTTCTCATTCTAAAAATTATCACAAGGTCACTACTATAATGCTCTAACCTAGAGATAGATGGACATTTATTAAATTGTATTTAAAAAGTTGACAAAATGTAACGAAATTAAAGAGTTAATTTCATTTTTGGTCCTATATTTATAGGTGACAGTCCACTTTTAGTCCTTTTTTTTTTTTTTTTTTTTTTTTTTTATCAAAACATCATCTTTTGGTCATAGTATTATTGTGACATGGCCAATTTTGGTCCTCTATCAACAAAATCGTTGAAATTTCGTTAAATAGAATGACATTTTGATCTTTTTAATGCAAAGTGCGTTGACCCGTTATATATTTTAGGAATAAGATTCAAATTGACCACTGAACGTAACCTGAAAATGCAATTAGGCCACTGAACTAAAAAAAAGTGCAATTAGGCCATTGAACACTCAAAAAATGTGCAATTAGGCCACTGAACTCTCCAAACGTATGCAATTTTACCGGATAGCAGGTTACCATCAATTTTAGCAGGTTACCTGCTTACGTGGCAGCTTAGTTGGCATTTTTAATAATTTTTAAATAATTGTTAATAATTAATTTTAATAATAAATTTTATAAAAAATTGGAAAAAATTAAATAAAAAATAAAATAAAGTCGTTTTTATTTGTTAAAAATTTTTTTTAATAAAAAGTTATTATTAAAATTTATTAAAAATTAATTAAAATTTATTAAAAATGCCAACTCAGCTGCCACGTAAGCAGATAACCTGCTAAAATTGAGGGTAACCTGCTATCAGGTGAAATTGCACATTTTTGGAGTGTTCAGTGGCCTAATTGCAGTTTTTTTTCGTTCAGTGGCCTAATTGCATTTTCAGGTTACGTTCAGTGGCCAATTTGAACCTTATTCCTATATTTTATGTTTATTTTTTGAAAAAAAATCTATAATTGAAGAGCGAAATGCTCTTGTATTTAACGCAATTTCAATGATTTTTTTTTTGATAGAGGATCAAAATTGTTTATGTCACAATAATACTGTGACAAAAATGAATGTTCTAATAATAAAAAAAAAAGACTAAAATTTGATTATCACCTATAAATCTATGACCAAAACTGGAATTAACTCCGAAATTAAATATTGAGGGCGTGAAAGTTGAAACTTAACTGTCATATTTGCAATCCTTGATTTGAATGGGATTTTTCAAATGGTTTGGTGGATCTCAACCTCCAGACAAAGTACACAAACAATAGAAAATTTTTCAATAGAAAACTAGTTCTAGTCTGCTTGCCCGCACCCCTTTGACCAGACCACCTAATTGATAATCTAACTACCTCAAACCTCCGTATTCCGTACACTAATAGCTGACCATACTCCGTAATACCGTAAAACTATGTTGCGTGTATCGCGTGGTCGCACCGTTTTCATTATCAATCAATTTATGCCAATCAAAATTTGTTATTACGGAGTAAAACATAAAATTAGGAGAAATTTTACACTGTCAATGATTAAAAAAAGATTATTATTATTATTTAAAAAGATATAGGAGGTGTTTGATAAATAGTTGTTAGCTTATTGAATTAACGAGTGTAACTAGTTCATAGCATTACCCGATTGTAGAAAGATGTTTGAAAAATTGGATATTAGCTGATGGCTAATTACATGCAAATGACTTTTAAAAAAAGTTGTTTGAAATTTTTTTTTTTTTTTGAGTAGCTTTTTAAATTTTAGCATTTTGAAACAATAAGTTGTTACAAAAAAACTAATTAATCAAAACACTTATATTGATTGTTTAACTAAGGCAAACATGGTAAAATAAACTAAAATTAGTTGATAGGCTAACTATTTTACCAAACAAGCCAAATATTTTCTAAATATAATAATATTTTTAATTTCACTATTTATAAAAATATTATCATCACTTGTTATTTATAGAATTTTTTGTAAATTTATATATGACATGATTTTAAGATTTATTTACCTTTTCAATCATTTAGACTAAAATTATCCCAGTCAATTATCCATTTGCAAGATAAATTGGCATGCCTTATAATTTTATTATTATTATTTATTTAATCCTAAGTATATACCAAACTTGCAAGAATAACAAGCTTGCTAAGTATAAAAAAGGTTGTCATTCGTTAGCCTTTTTGTACTTTAGTTTTGCAACAGCAAAGGCAACAAAAGCTGTCGTAAAACCATATTTTTTTTATTTCTTTTTTATTATTTTATTATTATATATAATATAAACTGAAAGTGAAATCTATTTTAGAAGGTGTGATAGATTTGCAGGGATAATGATAGTCTTATAAGTTAATTGATTTATATTGAATTAATTAAATGCAGTGATATATATACATATATATATATATATATTTATTTATTTATTTGTGTGTGTGTGTATTTAAAATTATTGGTTTCAAATAAAAACTAGTTATTGTTGTACATGTGATAATATCTTTTTCAATAAAAAAGTGTAAAATAATATAAATATTATTTTAAAAATTATATTTTTAAAAGTAAGACACATAATTATTCTAATGTAATCGGACAAAAAAAAGAGATGAATGATTAACCAAGTAGAATGCAAGATGGATAAAAGCATGGTGTTAAACTATATATATGTACTAGATATATTATCGATAAGCTCTCGATCAAGTAGATAAGCTGAACTTAACTAATTATACTATCAAGCTTTCATAATAATGTTATAATGACCACTGGCAGTGGTAATATATTAGATATATGCTTATTAGGCTTCATTATTTGGACAACTTAAATTACTATTTAAAAAATATACCACAATTATATCATCAACGTAATATAAAAATTCATAATTTGTATACTTGCATTAAAATTTACGTCACTTAACTTTATTTATTTCATAATTAGATATTTGTTACAAGTGATTTTATTTAATTATTTAATATAACATTTGATGTGAAGTTCATTTTTAAATTTTTTTAAATGCAAAATTTTCTGATTAAAATTGCTATATTCATTTAATATGACATCATTTACAAAATTTTATTATAGAAAAAAGTATGATAAACTTATAATAGTGAAATATATATAAAAAACAATAATATAATGAATATTAGTTTGGCTTTACCCGTTACTCTTCATTTTATAATAAAGTTTTTTTTTTAAAAAAAAAAATTTATGTAATTAATGCTGAGTTTTAATGTTGTGATTAAATTAAAAAAAATAATTGCATGAGGGACAAAAGTCGCGCGTTTTGCTGCTTTTGGAGCAACTGACTGAGATCGCAAGTAGCGTATCGAAATTGGAGGGGTAAAAGATAGGTGGACTTTTTTGTCATTTTACTCAACCGCACCACCGTCATCATCCTCCTCATCGTGAAACGTAAAGCCCTCCACGGCGGTTGCTTCGCTGCCTTTAACCGGCTGCTGCTGCACTACGCACCTACTCCAGCCGAATAACGAATCTCTCGTTTTCTCTCTCTATATATCTCTCTCTCTCTCTCTCTCTCTCTCTCTCTCTCTCTCTCTCTCTTAAGCCCTGAAGGTCACAAAATTATCCCTCTAAAAATTCGCAATGCGAATGCGGAGAGCGCTCTTCGTGCTCCTCACACTCCTTTGCTCGCTCTCTCTCGTCTTCTCCGCCGCAGATTCTGAGTTCCCAGGAGGAAACGACGGCTTTAATGGAAGAGCGGGGTTGAACACTTCGTTGGCAGCGAGATCTAAGGAGGATAGCTTCGCGGACATTCTTGATCGAGCTCTGGAGAAGGAATTCAACGAGACAAATGACCAGACCGATGGTTAGTGAAATTTCCCAAGCTTAATTTTTCTGCATTTTCGTGATCTCTGCATTTTCCTTGCTTGGGCTTGTACAATTCGTATCCTTTGCATGCAATGCTGATTCTCGAATTGCTGAAATTTGGTAATTTGGGTGAGCTGCTTTGTTTCAAAAATTCGTCGAATTTAACCTTTTGCTTTGCTGTCGCTGGCTGAAAATGTTCGCAAAAAGTCCTTCATACTTTAGTTCTAGTGTTTAATTTAATTCTGATATGAATTGAAATGTTTCCATAAATAGTTGAACAATTTGTGCCCACAGTGTATCTATCTTCTACTTCTTGTTTCTACTACTTTATTATTCTTATTATTTTAATTTTTTGATTTAAGTCATTTACTCACAGTTCTTTTGATTCAGTAACTGATCATGGGAGTTTCAACAATAGTGTGGCAGAGCAGCAGGTCTGTCGATTCACTTATTACATTTTTAGCAAATTAGGCTTAGTTTATTTGTTTTCTTCAACAAGACTTTAAGCTTAAAGAATTATATTTATGATTCTTTTGCCTTTTAGTCTACTGTGTTCAGTAAAATACTTGTTTCTGAAATGCTCTATCTTTTCAGGCAGTTCTGGAAACCGTTGCTAGGGTCAAGTCCAAAAAGAATGACACAAAAGAAGAAAAGTATGCACTACTATCCTGCCATTAATCTTTGGATATTACAACTTTCCCTTACTAGAGCATAATTCTGGTTTACTACTATGCTACTATAGAAAATTTGAAGTTCTTGTCTTCTAAGTAAGATAAAAGATTAAAGATCCAAGTATAGCTGATGCCTTTGGAATCTTGTATTAGGTCCTTTCAGTTTCATGATGTTTTCATCTTGGAGGATACTGGAGCAGAAGATACACCGACACTGATAGATCAAAAGGCACTTCCATATTCATTTATATAACATAATTAACATTGTTACTTGTGTTTTTCAATTTTTATTTTTGTGGTTTTTTGCTTGTGCAATTGTTCCTGGCAGTAGTGGGTAGAGATGATTATGTACTCTAATATTTTTGAAAGGCATCAAACATGAATCAGTGTTGAAATTTGTTTTCAGGACAATGTCTTTATCATGTCCAATCCGAAGTCAAAATTTCCTGTTTTGCAGCTAGATCTAAGGTTAGTTTCCTCACTTAGCCCTTTTAACCTATCTTGCTGATGAGTCAAAAGAGGAACAATAAAAGTTACTTATTGTATGTAGTAACTCATCTTCTAATCTGTTTTTTTTTTTTTTTTTTGGATGCCCTTGACAGATTAATATCAGATCTTGTTGTTGTGATTGTTTCTGCAACTTGTGGCGGCATTGCCTTTGCTTGTGCTGGACAACCGGTCTGATCTCTATTATTCTGTGTTATCCAGACATTTGAAGCATGCTTTCTTGTTCAATTTTCATTTATAATTTCTTTTTTTTTTTTTTTTTTTTTTTTTTTTTTTTTTTTTTTTTTTTTGCATTTTGATGATTGGCTACCTTTTTCAAAAAATCAATAATTACCATCTTATGTCTAAGAAGTGTGCTTTATGTGCTTTCCTGCAGGTAATCACTGGGTATTTGCTGGCTGGATCCATTATTGGACCTGGAGGGTTTAACTTTGTTAGTGAAATCGTTCAAGTATGTTTTTTGTTTGTTATTTTCTTTTTAACAATTGGTAGAAAAATTGTCTGCAAAACATGATCAATCACATTAAATCATGGTATTTTTTGGGTGAATTTGTGAGAATTGAATAAGTACTTTGAATTGAGTTCTCCATTGTCAGATTTTTCTGTGAACCACTTTGCAATATTTGTTTCTTCTTTGGGGTCTATTAGATAGGTATTATTGTCTGCAAGGACATATAGAACTTCTCTAATGTCTAACTTTTTTCAACTTATCTCCTAATATTCTCTGTTTAAGTTGTTTGCTTCAGTGTGTGGTATTACAATATGCTTTACATCCTAGTTCTATTTCTAGTGCCTGATAGTTTTGTCATTCAGGTAGAAACGGTTGCCCAGTTTGGTGTTATTTTCCTTCTTTTTGCATTGGGATTAGAGTTTTCCACAGCAAAGGTTGGGTTTGCTTTTCAAACTGTGAGATTTTGTTATTATACAAATTGAGATGGAATATTAATTTATTGAATTTTGTAAGTGCAGCTTCGTGTTGTTCGAGCTGTTGCATTGTTAGGTGGCTTACTCCAGATATGTCTCTTCATGTGTTTGTGCGGGATAACGGCCTTGGTATATACCTTCTTTTTGTCCTGATGTCTTGTCTGTTTGTGCTGAATCTTCATAGTTTCAAATGATGCTAAAATACTATAACTGGTGTTCATCTGTGTGCTGTTTTATATTCCTGAAAACATTGTTTGAATATTGTTGCTATATTTTGGTTCCTAATTAGTTCAGATATCCTAATGATGTTTTCTGATACTTGCAGTTATGTGGTGGAGAAGCATCTGAGGGTGTTTTTGTTGGTGTCTTCCTGTCAATGTCTTCAACAGCAGTGGCAAGTTCATTGATTTACTATATTTCTTTTCAATTGCCTTTATAAATCTATGGAAGCTTGTAATATCAAATCTGGTTCGGTATAATGTATTAATGTCCTTGAATGAGGTTTGATAAAAGGAGAGGGCTCAATATTATTGTGACATAGTGAACCTTTAATTATTGACGATTTTTTGAAAAAGATGTATTGTTTCAGTGGATTTAGATGTCTGGTATATATGTTTACAATTTTAACATTTGTTTGATTCTAGAAGAAACCTTAAGATACTTCTGTTTTAAATGTCACTATGCTTCTTAATTTTCTCAAAGATTCTCAGCTTTGAGACATCTACAAAAGGAAAAAAATTCTCAGCTTTATGATCCCTATAACATTAATAACTGTCTTAGTACAAGTCTGCATGTATTCTTTCTCTTGTTATGCTATAGTTGCTTTTGTTATTAACCTATTGAGGCAAACATTAATAACTGTCTTAGTACAAGTCTGCATGTATTCTTTCTCTTGTTATGCTATAGTTGCTTTTGTTATTAACCTATTGAGGCAAACATTAATAACTGTCTTAGTACAAGTCTGCATGTATTCTTTCTCTTGTTATGCTATAGTTGCTTTTGTTATTAACCTATTGAGGCATTATGTGCCTTTTAATTATAGGTATTGAAATTTTTGATGGAAAGAAAAAATATCAGTACGCTTTACGGACAAGTTACCATTGGAACCCTTGTTCTACAGGTTTGCATTAACCATCATCTTTCCTTATTACTTTTGCTTCTCTATAAGTTACCATTGGAACCCTTATTCTACAGGTTTGCATCAACCATCATCTTTCCTTGCTACTTTTGCTTCTATCTCATTTATTGTTATTATTTAAAAAAAAAAACTGTTTGTATCTAAATTTTTACCAACAAATACACTAAATTTGAAATGTTTTAGGTTATTTTACATGCTGACATTTTGTTGCTTATAAAAAGTTAAAGTGGACTCTTCTGTCAGGATTGTACGGTAGGTTTGCTATTTGCATTGCTTCCAATTCTGGGTGGTACTTCTGGTGTTCTTCCTGGATTGATGTCCATGGGAAAAATGTAAGAACTAAGAAATAGTTGTTGAAGTTTGACTTCGAAAAAAACACACAGTGAAAACATTAGGTGTTTTGCTGCTCTCAAATTATTTAGGCCTATGATGTCCTTGACTTGACCAATGTCTTTTTGGTTACAGATTGGTCACTTTGGCTGCATTTTTTAGCATTTTGTCAATATTCTGCCGGACATTGGTACCTAGGTTTCTTAAGCTGATGATAGGCCTATCATCACAGGTAATTCATTATCTACCTAATAATCCTTGGGCTGCAACTAATAGTTTACTTGACCTTTTTACTGAAATATTTGCAGACTCATGAACTATATCAGTTGGCATCTGTTGCTTTCTGCTTGATTGTTGCCTGGGTTTGTCTCTTTTCCTACTTCTAATCAGTTCATCATCAGATTTTACATCCTTTACATTCTTTTTGTGATTGCCGGTCTCTTTTCGCTATTATGTTTAAATTTTAATCCTATTCATCAACACATGCTGTTTGAACAGTATGCTGAGCTAGACCTAAATACTCTTCAATGAATGATTTTACTCAGATTTCATATTGAATTTCGTAGTGTCTTAAATGGACATGGGTTACATATGTATAAAATGGATTTGTTTATCATGTCAGTGTAGTGATAAGCTGGGTCTTAGCCTTGAATTGGGTTCTTTTGCTGCTGGAGTGATGATATCAACAACGGAACTTGCTCAACATACACTTGATCAGGTGTTGCCTTTATTTTCCAGTTTTTGCTGTTCATTTCTTTATTCAACAACCCATGGAATGGTCAAACTTTTTCAGTGATGACCAAACAGGAAGAGAGAGAGATGCAATTCACACAAATATTGTCCAATAACCCATTCAAAACACTACATATATTGAAAAGATTCCTACATTAATACCAAATCTATATATTTATCTAAGAGCTTCCTGCTACCCTTTTATCTTAATTATGCCATCATTTTGTTGTAGGTTGAGCCAATTCGGAATTTCTTTGCTGCTCTTTTCCTATCCAGTATTGGAATGCTTATCCATGTTCATTTTCTGTGGAATCACATTGATATTTTACTGGCTTCTGTTATTATGGTAATCGTGTTTAAAACTATTGTGGTTGCAACAGTAGTCAAATGTTTTGGTTACAACAACAAGACTTCACTTCTTGTAAGTGTTTTTATTGACTACTTGACTTGATGCCTTATTTTCTTGATCCTCACTAAATATGAAAGCTAAAGTGTTTGTGTTTTAGGTGTGTTAAAGAGTATGTTGCTTGACTTATAGGTTGGAATGTCTCTGGCTCAAATTGGGGAGTTTGCATTTGTTCTTCTGAGCCGTGCTTCCAATTTTCATCTGGTTGAGGTACTTCTTTTGGCTGACCTCCTCCAGTCTGTTTGTGGGCTCAAACTAAAGTTTTAAAAAATGTATGTAATATTGTTGCTATTATTCCTAAGCAGTATCAGGGAGGAATATTCTATGTTAGGCTTGTGCATATTCTGTTAAAATGAACTTTAGATGTGTGGTTAAATTTGGTTACGGTTGCAGGGTAAATTGTACATGCTGCTTCTAGGCACAACAGCTCTTAGCCTGGTATATAAACTGTTCTCTTTTCTATTCTTTTATGCATGTTATGAGAATATGAGATATTATGATGTGTAGCTCACAAAATAATTATACAGGTGACAACTCCATTACTGTTCAAACTGATTCCTGCTGTTGTGCATCTTGGAGTTCAGCTACGGTGGTTTTCAGCTGATTCCCCAAATGAGGTAAAATCTGTTTTCAACTACCAATTCTTAGTGTTTTCATTATATTGTCCCAGAATCATTTGGGTGAGTAAAAAGATTTTGGTATCTTGGATATGATTTTTCCATCCAGATTGGATCAAAAGGAGATCTCCTGCATGCTGACAGTGCTAAGCGTATTACAGTCTTGGTCCAAGGCTACCATGATTCGTGATATAATTCAAGTAGTAAGAAATTAAAAAAAAAAAAAAAAAAAAAAAAAACAAAAACAAAACAAAAAACTAAACTACTGAGTTTCAGCAAATCTCAGATTTTGGGTGTTGGCATTGTTATGCAATGGTGGGCGTGAGGTGCCCAAGTGTGAACCACACTTTTGTGAATATACAAGCTCCCGAGCTGAGGACACAGTTGACACATCTAAATTCGAACTTAGAGTGCATAGAAATTGTATACATCTCTAACTCTCTTAGTGTACGCGGTTTGTAGGATTTTGTTTCAGGTGATAGCCTTTATTGACAATGGACAAACTCACTAACCCTCCCTCCCTACCCCATCTAAGTTGCAATTGTCAATATTTTTCCCATTTTTCATCACTTTGTTTCATTAGTTTCTCCTCTATATATGTCTCAAACCTATTGTCAACAATTCCCTATTGATGTAAATAACTGGTGTTTTGTTTTACCATTATGTGGATTCAATTAGTTTCATTCAATGAAAACCCCCATCATTTTTGCATTTCAAGTTTCTCTCTCTCTCTCTTTTTTTTTTTCGTACTATGTTGACAGCAATCTATCTAGGCTTGAAATTTATTCAATGTGTAACTTTTGAAAATGAACACTCAATACCTCTACTGCATAAGAACATGTGAACTTACAAGAATAATACCCACAAGTGTACTATTTTCTCCAGACACAATGATTATTCTTTTAATACAGCTCATTGATAGTCACAGTTATTAAACGAGAATTGGAAGTTTGCTGAATCATTAGTCACCATCTCTTGAATACTGTACCATCTTAAAAACTAAAAAGGCTTCTCTCTCAGGAGGTTGAAAGAAACAACTGATATTTTAAATTGATTCTCCTCTCCATCACAAATTCAACTCATCAAAATTTAAATACACTGTAATTGCCAAGTATCATGTAGTGTGATGACATCTTGTTTACCCATTCAAATTGATAGTCATAAGTTTGAACCCCAGTCGTGGGGCATGCAAAATTATACTGAGTCACTAATGACTAAACAATTCAAGAGTCTTCATCTCCAACCTGGGGATACTTTTTTTTTTTTTTTTTTTGAATGCTACTAATGACTGTATTACAATGTAGTATATGTTCATAACTACATAAGAGTGCAACCTTGGTGCCATTAGACCACAAGGTCTTGGCAACCTGGGGATACTTAGTTTTAGTTTAATTGCATAATTTTAGATTGTTCAATGAATCAATGGTATTAGATGACCAAATTATGATTTTGCGTGTAATTCAGTGGTCTATTTGAATCTTATTCCAATGGTAAAATTGTTTTGGATTAGATGACCAAATTATAATTTTGCGTGTACTTCAATGGTCTATTTGAATCTTATTCCAATGGTAAAATATAAGTAAACGCATAAATTCATAATCTTCCAAATGGAAGTCCAACCCGGATACCATTAGACCACATAGTCCTGGTGGGGGCGTTATTGGTTCTTTGTGTTTCAGTAGGTTGAGAAAGTATATGAACAGATACTACAATGTAATAGGGCCAGTAACTTTAAAAAAAAAAAAAAAAAGTAAACGCATAAATTCTACACCACAAAAATTCACATTAAACTAATGTAAGTTCAACACCTCTAACCATATACTAACATATACTACAGTTCATCGCTGCATGAAAATACCAGATTAACATTTTCTACAAAAATTAAAGAGCTAAAATAACCCCCATACTAGAATTTACACAACTATACAACAAAGGGATTAAGATTGTTTTTATCCATTTCATTGGATTCCCATTCCATTGTCTCATAGGAGAATATATATTCCTGCAGCATAGACAGTGGAGCATCCATCCTGACTCCTGAGCATAAATTCTTCTTGAATGCCACTAAATGTCACACTCCAGCATCCGAAGTACCTAAATGCGCAAAGGTCAAATGCATCGGTTATTATATATGTGTTCTGAATGTCAAGTTTAGTTAACGTAACGTTCCCGGTTCCCGGTTCCCGGTTCCCTACCTGAGACATCCGAGGCCTTGAAAGAGGGTCTCGTTGAATGCACAATGCTGCACACCGCATCATGGAATAAACCTGTTTCTCTAAATAGCGGTGGTTCCTTAAGAACGGGTCTACAAGATCAACAATGGCATGCTTTTCCAGTAAAGGCCGTGCCTGGGGGAAGTAAAGATGGAATCAATGCTTAATTGCTTTAACAGAAGAATCAGATATGTATGAACATAGCAGAGCTAAGAGCATTCGATCATACCCACTCGGTCAGGCACTGTTGGCCCTTGGGACGGTTAATATCCATAGCTTTTCTTCCTGTGATGAGTTCCACCAGCACCACGCCAAACGAGTACACATCCGCCTTTTCAGTTATTTGCCCGCTTTGAGCATACTCTGGAGCTAAGTACCTATAAAATGAGGATATGATATTACTGCTAATAGTTTTAACACGCAGCTAGGCTGATTATAGGAATCTTACCCGAATGTTCCAATTATTCTTGTTTCCACACCCAAGTCTCCATCTGGTTGCCATCGTGCTAGTCCAAAGTCTCCAACCTATTTACATTTCATACGAAGAAAATTAACAGCGACAGCAAGAATTGATGGGATGATATACAAATAGTATTTTCACTTTATCAATCTTGATTCAGAATAACTGTAAAAAAATATGTCAAGAAAATGCTCCAAAAGTATAGAAAGAGGAAGAGATACCAATGGCTCAAAATCATGAGTAAGAAGAATGTTGTTAGGCCGCATGTCACGATGAACAATACACCCCACTCTGCACTCCTCGTGAAGGTATCTCAGTCCTCGAGCAGCTCCAGCTGCAATTTTTTGTCTTGCGGACCAGCTTAATGGATCTTTGTTACGCCCTGCATTAAATAATCGAAACAACATGCATTAGACAAAATTTTAACTATTGCTCGTTTCCCAAACTAAATCATAAACTTCACAAAAATTTTAACCTATAGAAGACAGTTTAGATAGGAGCTATTGGCAGTAAAAATCCCTAGTCATGCATATGGAGAAGTACTAGGAACATGTTCGAGTAGAGAAGGACGTACCATAAAGATGAGAATCCAGGGATCCGTTACAAATGTACTCATAAACAAGCAACCTTCTTCCGTCCTCTATACAGAATCCAATCAACAACACAACATTCCGGTGCTGAGCACAACTCAGGACTTCCACTTCTGAGCAAAATTCACGGTCACCCTGAGAACTAGCAGATTTGTATTGCTTCACAGCTACAACTTGGCCATCTGGTAAGACTCCACGATGTACAGAACCGTATCCACCTTCAGCCAAAAAATTAGTTCGAGAAAACCCACGGGTAGCAGTTTCAAGCTCAGCAAATGTAAACCACCTCGGGGGCTTTCCAAATACGGGTGCCTTGTGCTGGCATATTGAACATAGTGGAGGAGGCTCTGGAGGAGCGTTTTTTGATAACGATACCAGTTTTCTCACATTCTTGCTTAGTTCCATGGCGAGTCTGCCTTTTGCTCCTACTTCAAATTCTTGATCAAGTTTAAAGAATTTCTCTTGTAAATCCTCTTCAACTGTAAAATTTAGAATATTATTTTTGGATCTTTGTGAACCTTTCTTCAAGGACTTTGAATGTTCACTGGGTGAACTGAAAGTATCTGCCGTCCATTGCTTGGAAGATATACTTGTCGAAGGAGAACTCAGATTTTCACTGTCTGTGTCGGAGTCAGATTCATCAAACAGATAACAAGGAGAAAAGCCCTCTTTCTTTAGACCCCAATTGATTTCGGAGATAGCAAGTGGAGAGGCTCCCAGGTCTGCACTTGAAATCGAGGATGTCCTAGCATCACTCGTTGTAAACGATATATGCTCCGGGCTGCTAGCTGGAGTCACATTCGGTACCCGAATATGATTGCAGGTACCAGAGCTTTCAGCCACACTTTTCCTGGATATTTGTGATCCAGAGATAATCTCAGCATCAGTGCTCGGTGATCCAATGAAATTCAAACGAAGCACCTTTGGACGAGACTTTTTCATCATAACTACATTGCATTCCAGTTCCTGCATGCAACTTTTCGCCTCTTTTTTCATTCTCCTGCCAAATCATTTTGGAATATGAATATTATATTGACACTGAAGATATAAGCTATCAGCTGTCGTCATGATCTAGCATCATTTTCATTCCAGATGCATCTAAGGATCAAAACGGTACGAGTATGAAATTATAAATAAATAGATAAATTCTCGGTATTACTTGTCCAACACCACCCAATGAACTTGAGTTTTTTTGGCTTCAGCAGCTACTACCCCATAGTCTAATCCAGAAACGACTTTAATCTTCATTCTTATCTGTAAATAAAATTGAAGGTATGAGTACTCTATGGCAAGAACATGTAGAGATTAGGATGGAAGTACGCACTTTATCTGGATCAAAAAGATTACTAAGTTGAAGCATTATTTGGGTGCATGAATCTGTAATGTAATCCTTCTGATCTAGACGTGTTCCAGAGAATGATTTCCAGTGAGCAGCCGTGCAATCACTCCCAAATCTTTGGAAACCCCATAGTCTTTTACCTGCAAAGTGTAAATTCTGGAAATCATGAATGCCATCACAGGCACAGTGACTAGACAAATACAACATGTTGGGAACAACCAAATCTGTGGAAAAAGAAACAAATAACAACTATGTTCTTCTGTAAACATAGGAACACTTGAATAGAAAGGCATTTATTGCTACCTAATTTTGTTCCCCAGTAACAGTTCAAATCTAGAAACAGTAATCAAATAGTTATGTGTATGATGATGTTGCATCCACCTTTAAATTTCAAGAACCACTGGGGGTATACACAAGCATTCATTTAATATGGTAACAGATTCTTAGCAAAAGCTAACAACTATATGTGTATAAACATCACTGTTAAGAAAAATATAGCAGTTCTAAAGGCAAGAAAGGATACTTGAAGAACTATGATTTGGAATGACCACCAAAAGCTTCACACAATCTCCAGGCTGAACAACATGAGTGAGAGCCCAAATCAGAGCAGCTCTTGGGATATCTTTGGAGACTTTAACAGCAACAAGCACAAGCCTCTTTCCCGCATCCAAACTCCTATCTTTCCCACTCTTTTGTCTCATATTCATCTTAACTCTCAAGCCACCCAACAGACAATCTGCCACCTCTCAAATCAGCACTGTGAATTCATCAAACACCTTGTACCCATTTCGCCAAACTTCATTTTCTTTGCCACCCCATCAACAACAAAAGAAAAAGTCTTCACCTTTTGACCTCCTCGTTGAAGAAAAGCTCAGAAATGTCCAAACAGCTACAATGGTTGAGAACTAACCATTGATTTCAAAGTAATTTCCACTAAAGGCAGACTAAAAGTCTAAAACATTGCGATCAAGATTGGGATTTGCACAGTTCATAACTGAAAGCTGTTTCCAGGCAAGAAAAAACAGTGTGGGAAGTGTGACCCAAACCTGAAAGTGAAGGGACGTGATTTTTTGGCTAAAGGGAAGGACAAATGTCAGCAATGCCTGCAAATTTACAGTCCTGCCTCCTAATTGAATTTCAGGTCAGTTTTTTGTTTTATTTTTATCTTCTTCTGAGGTGTGGGGTTCAGTAAATACTAATAATTCAAACACATATTAACAATAGAGAGGTGCCAAATATTGAAATGGATTTAAAAAGTTATAAAAATTGTATCACGAGATTGACTGAGAGGATGTTAACAATAATCAGAAAAGAATTAAACTTGTGATCCAGCTTAAGTACGAGAATCATCTTTCATCAACTTCATCACTCGTTTTTGGTTACTATTCACAACTCTAGAGGGTGGTTCTAAGTGGTATGAAGATAACCTTCTTGTTGGTATTTAGTAGCCTCAACTTTCACTTCAAGAATATACAGACAGTAACTTTATTTTTATTTATTTATTTATTTTTTTTAACTACAGATTTTATACATATTAGCTTTGAGTTAATTATAGATTGTGAAGTTTATCTATACATTGATACTCAATAAGTGAACAGATAAATACTCTAGACATTGAAATTATTAAAAGAGAAAACAAATTAAACAATAATAATCAAATAAAAACATTCCAAGTGAGAAACAACAAAATTGAGTGTTAACAGAATATATTCCTACAATAATATATATATATATATATATATATATATATATATACCTCCACCAGCCAAATCAAGTATCAACATATTTTTGGACACTAGTGATGTTAGTTGTACAATGAAGTTCTTTTTCTAGCACTCCATATTTTATTAATTGGTTCGTCCATTTTCATACTTTCACATTTATAAATTTACGGAATGTAAAATCACCTAAGGTAATAATCTTGAGAGGTGATGTAAGATAATAAAAATTTAAAATTACCTGTTGTGTTTAGTTGGTATGAGACTATGAGTAATATTATTGTTTGAAGTTATATAATTACTCAAAAATTGTCCAATATATATAATACACAAGTGTCCATATTTTTTCCCCCTTATACTATTTAATATTTTCACTGTTATAAGATTAATCTTAATTCAACTCTAGTTATACTCCTAAGATTTGACTTGACTTATATATCTTTAATATGCCAAACCTGTAAGTGAATAATTTCTAAAGAGGTCAAGAATGAAAAGTTTATACCACTTAGCGTACTTGCAAGCCATATTCACCTAATCATCTATCTTTTTAGAATGTTCTAACTAATACTCGTATATATGATGTTGAGACCTTTTCAACTGATAGTGAAAGAACGAAATCGGGGTACATACCAATACCTATGACAGGTAACAAAATGGAGATAGAAAGAAATAACTCTCGCGGTCCAGAATCCAAAAAAGAAGAGTTGGGGGCATTAAATAGCTTGTATCCATAAAACATATGGCGTAACATAGATAATGAATAAATAGGAGTTAATATAATTCCAATTGCCATTACAAAAGAAATGAGTATTTTGGACATGAAAAGATATTTTTTGGCGCTAATTATTCCAAAAAATACTAGTAATTCGGCAACAAAACCGCTCATACCTGGTAATGCAAGGGAAGCCATTGAAAAGCTACTGAACATCGTGAATATTTTTGGCATTTGAATAGCTATTCCCCCCATTTCGTCAAGATAAACAAGCCATATTCTATCATAAGTCGTTCCCGCCAAGAAAAAAAGTGCAGCACCAATAAATCCATGAGAAATTATTTGTAAAAGAGCTCCATTAAGTCCCGTATCGGTCATTTTGGGAGAATGAAGGAAATCCACAACTACTATTTAAAAATATGTATGGATAAATTTCACTCCTATATAATAGTTCCTAAATTACACACAAAAAAAAAGAAAAAAAGAGAGAAGATAAATCACATCAGGAGTCAGCAATTATACTATGGACCACGGTCCACAAAGTTTTGTGGACCATGGTCCAAAAACGACGACATTTCTTTAAGTAAAGAAACGGCAGCCGTTACAGCTTAACAGAGCGCGTATTTTTTGTGTGTTAATTACCGAAAGAAACTACAGTGTATCTAAATTGACATTGTCTCACGTATTATTTTTATATTATCAAATGAAACTGCAATTGAATTGAACTGAAATTGTAGTTGTGTTGAAATGAAATTGCAGTATATACAAAATGACATTGAATAACAATTTCACATATTTGAGTGTATAATATCGAATGAAACTGTAGTTATATCGAAATGAAATTGTAGTTGTGTTGAAATAAAATTGAATAACAGAATTACTTTTTGCGGAACGATGCAAAACGGGTATCGTTTCTTTTCATTAAACAAAACGACATCGTTTTGATGCCTGGACTACAATACATTATGGACTGTGGTCCACAGTAAAATTTGCCCATGAGGAGTACTAAATATTTTTTTAATTATCAAAGGTATAATAATAAACGTGTTAATAAAGACAAGTTAGGGGTACATTTTCCCTATTAAGATAAGGGCAAGCACAAACTTTAGTAATAATTGAAGAGAGTTTAATTGTTTTAGTGTTTTACAACCAACAAAAACAAAAAGGGTAACCCACAATTTGGCTTGATCGGACCTTCAAAAAGGAGTTACCTTTAAGTTGCTTAAATCCACCCAAAGCAAACACACAAAGGCAACCCCTATCAAACAAGCTTCTACTATGTGGGACCCTGCCTAAAGAATATGTATAATATAATGCACACAAACATATATATATATATATATATATATATATATATATATATATATTTGTGTGTATGAAAACAATGCATGCATTTGGACTTTAGTAAAAGCTATGAATCATACAAAATTATGGCCATCTTTGGTAAAGACATGAATTATATAATTTTCCTTTTGGTCCGTTCTTTAGCTTTATGTCATTCATACAAAAAAGTCGAGTGTTTTATATGATCTTGAGCATCTCGGATAATCATATCCTTTTCGTGTCATCCCACACGCACTAAAATATTATAATTCTAAAAAAAAAAAAAACACAATAAATAAGGTAAAACGATTGTTATATTCTATGATTTTATTGAAGACAATTTAAAAAATCTCAATTAAACTTTAATTTTTCATGAAATAAAAACTTTGTTCAATAGATTGAAGACGTAATAATTAAATTAAAATACAAAAAAAAAAAATCTTAAACAAAACAATATCGAGTTCAAAATTAAATTAGCATATAGTTTGATCTGTTATTTACATCCTTCCAAATGCTTTGTCGGATTGGAATGTTAGAAGCCATTGAGGTTAGAGATTCAACCTTAGAAGAAAAAATGACAAATTATGTTGTGGAACCGTGTCCACCTTGCTCCAAAACTGTTCATAATTGTGAATATAGAGTTTAAAAATTATGAACATAGAGTTATGAACATAGGATTCTATAATTATGAACATAGAGTTCTGTAATTATGAATATAGAGTTCAATAATTGTGAATATGAAGTTCAAAAATTATGAACATGAAGTTCAAAAATTATGAACATAGAGTTTTATAATTATGAACATAGAGTTTAGTAATTATGAATTAAAGTCCTGTAATTGTGAATATAGAGTTCAATAATTGTGAATATAAAATTTAAAAATTATGAACATAGAGTTTAGTAATTATGAATTTGGAACCGTATCCAGTTATCCACTTTGCAAGGTGGACACAGTTCCATGGCGTAAGTCAGAAAATATTATTTTAGGTGCTCATTGATGGTTTTTGGACATGTTTTTGAGGCCCAATTTGTTTTGGGCGAGTGGCCCGGTATGTAACCCAAGTTGAAATTGCCTGGTCTTTTTTTTTTTTTTTTTTCAAATAAGCGGTAGCCTGGTCTCAAAATTACAATTTAAGGATGGATAATTTTACTTGAACCCTTAGAATTACTGTAGTATCAATATGGAGCCCTATTGTTTTAAAAGGAGTGTGTAAACATTTAAGGACTTGTAGGTTTGAGAATGCATATTTCGTGATTTATCTCATCCATTCGTTTTTAAATAAGAGTGACGATAAAGGGCACTTTAAATTTATAATAAAAAAAAACAATATAATTGAGCATTTTGATTATAAGAAGAAAGTAGAAAAATAATAATACAAGAATTCAATATAAAATTAAAGATTATTGGAAGGATTTTTACATAAAGTTGGTGCTATTTTATCATAATTTATTAATTTTTTTGGACAAACATAATAAAATTCTTTTTATGACCACACATTATGTTTAAAAAAAAATCCCTGTGACATGATCATATATCTTTTTATTTATTTATTATTAATTATAATCCACATTTTTACATCTCAATATATTCTAATTTTTCAATTTTAATTTACAAAAGGGAGCTTTTTTTTTTTTTTTTTGAAGCATACAAAAGGGGAGCTTAAATAGTTAAATTCCCAAATAATTTACAGTGATGTAAATTGTAATCATGTAAATGGGCTCGATTCATAAACGGCGCATGCAACTGTCAAACGCAAAAATTATACCTTGCAAAAGTTATACTGGCCCAAAACGACGTCGTTTTGGATCTTTTTGTGTGTTTGTTGTTAATTCTTAAAAAAAAAATCATATTTGAATGTACAGAATTGTATAATAGAATACACAGAATTTTATACCTGAAAACACAGAATTTTATAACTGAAAATTCCCATGTTTTGAATGTACAGAATTATATAATAGAATGCACAGAATTTTATATCTGAAAACACAATTTTATAACTAAAAATTTTCATATTTTAAATGTACAAAATTATATAATAGAATGCACATAATTTTATACTTGAAAATATAGAACTTATCAAAACAACATCGTTTTGGGAGGCGGGACACACATTGCTATGTGAGCTGTGCACAATATAATGATTGGTCAAACGCTCAACAGCTCCCAGGCTCCGCCACGCCAAACCAGATTCAGTTCCGCACAAAACTCGGCGCCTCCGCCTCCTCCTCATTAGCTTGTATATAAAATACTAGTATTTTTTGTGCGCGATGCGTAAAAAAATAGGTGCCCAATATTAATATATTATATTAAAATTTTAAATTTATTTAGATTTTAGATATTTAAATTATTCTAAATAATAATAATAATAATAATAATAATAATAATGTAAATTATTTTTATAAATTTGATATTTATATTTATTTAATAATTAATATATAACTCAAATATTTAATGTGTATATATTATTATTAATAAAGAATATAAGAAAATATATTGTGGACGCATGTGCATGGTAACAATAGTGGAAAAGATAACGGAAGTTATAACGATAGGAGTATGTTTGTCCAAAATATTTTAATGTACAACCTTTATAACATAATGTACAAAAAAACTTAACGGAAAAATCGGACATAAATCAGGGGTATAACTTTCATTCACACTTATTATGTTTTTAGATTAGATATAAATATAATGCCTTATTAGCTTGCTTCATTATATTATATTATTCTTTCTTTCTTCCTTGGATATGATCTGCGTTAACAATAATGATAGTGAACACGTTTCCGGATAGTTATGCTATGGTGCATACGGATGCCAAAACGACGTCGTTTTATTAAAAAATGCGCGTCTCCCCTTTTAAACAAATTCAGGTTCGATTCCCAGCAATAACATTATATTGTTCATTCATTCTGGAATTTTAGTTCATAGATTATGGAATTATAGTTCATTGATTATGGAATTATAGTTCATCGATTATGGAATTGTAGTTCATCGATTCTGAAATTTTAGTTTATAGATTATGGAATTTTAGTTCATTCATTCTGGAATTTTTAATTCATAGATTAGATTATGGAATTTTAGTTCATATGTTGCTGCTGAGAATCGAACCTGATTTTTTTTTTAAGGGGAGACACGCGTTTTATTAAAACGACATTGTTTTTGCATCCGTATGCACCATGCATGGTGCATACGGATGCACAACATAATTTGCCCACGTTTCCAGGGCATAATTTACGGGGTGGTTATAGGTTAGGCCCTCTCGTAGGGACTTAACGGTAGTTTTTTGACCGGGGTAGTTTTTTTTTTGTTTTTAAATTTTGTTGTCGTCAGAATTTTTTGACCGGTTATTCCAGGTGAAAAACATGTTATTAGACTTATTTGACTCAAGATAACAAGTTGAAAGGCCTAATTGCACTTTTTTTAAAATTAAAGGGTCTAATTACTCTTTTGCTTATAGTTCAAGGGTCTATTTGATTTTTTTTTTTTAATATATATATATATATATATACACGGTGCCAAATCGGAACCGGTGATTTCAATTATCAAAACTTTAGAGTTCCAGTTCTTTAACCGGAATCGAAACTATACGTACAATTCCGATTTTGGTTCGGTTCGAACCGAACTTAAGGAACCTTGGTCATGCTTTAGAAGGTATTATTGCTTAAGAATAATATAAAAATTTAGAAAGTATCTAACTTTTTCAATTTTAATTTACAAAAGGGAGCCTAAATTCCCAAATAATTTTGACAGTTATAATCATGTAAATGGGCTCGATTCATAAACGGCGCAAGCAACGGTCAAACGCTCAACAGCTCCCAGGGTCGGCCACGACAAACCAGATCCAGTTCAGCGCGAGAGCGCAGAGCTCCGCTCAATGCCGGCAGCCGCCGCTGCCGCCTCTTCTCCCGTACCGGCAGCTGCCGCCTCCGCCGGGGATAGGCTGAAGAGAGAAGACTGCAAACGCACCAAGCATGACTCTGCTTTCTCCGAGTGGAAGGTCCAATTCACCCCCCTTGCTATGAATTTTAGTCTCTTGTTGAATATCCACACTTTGTTTTGGGGTAAAGGTTGAATCTTTGGGTGAAAAACAACCGAGAATTCCTAAACGGAACTCTGCATAAACACTGTTTCATTGCTTCCTTTGATCTCTTTGAAAGTTTTCATATATATTACTGTGTGCTCAGACTAGTTTTCTGTTCTTATGTGACAAGTAATTACAACAATTTGTAACTGTTTCTTGCCAGATTTTGGTTGGGCCTTCTGATTGGCAAGACTATCTGTTAGGGAATGATGGGGCTGAGAGATACAGAACTCAGAACCTTCCAAATTGTGCTTCTTGCCCTGGAATTTATGAGCTTGGCATTGCAGTATCAAATCCCAGATCCAGGCTAGATACTAACAAAATTGATACTGCTAAGATTGTTCCAGTTTATGTTGGACAAGCTGACAATGTTAGGACTAGATTGCAGCAGTATGGCCGTGATGGATCACATTTAGAGAATGGTTGCTCAAAAAGTGAATTTTCCCGGGACAAAAATGGTTGCTGCCAGAAGGGACTTGCATTCTTTACAAGTGCATTCTCAAGAGGCTTCTCCATTGTTTATAGATGGGCTCCAGTAAGTATAAATTGCTTCTAACTCTTTGATTTATGGAAAAATCCACAGCCTCAACTTGAAAGTACGCCAAGGTAAAGCCCGCCTTGTGACCGTAAAGGACCACAAGGGAGGTAAACCAACCTAGGACTGACCGACTCAAATCAAGAAGGCCAATAGACAGCTTCCATGAGGAGTGGAAGGTGAAGCCCGCCTTGTGACCGTAAAGGACCACAAGGGAGATAAACCAACCTAGGTTGTCCAGGACTGACCGACTCAAATCAAGAAGGCCAATAGACAGCTTCCATGAGGAGTGGAAGGTGAAGCTCGCTTTGTGACCGTAAAGGACCACAAGGGAGATAAACCAACCTAGGTTGTCCAGGACTGATCGACTCAAATCAAGAAGGCCAATAGACTCCTTCCATGAGGAGTGGAAGGTGAAGCCCGCCTTGTGACCGTAAAGGACCACAAGGGAGGTAAACCAGCCTAGGTTGTTCAGGACTGACCGACTCAAATCAAGAAGGCCAATAGAGAGCTTCCATGAGGAGTGGAAGGTGAAGCCCGCCTTGTGACCGTAAAGGACCACAAGGGAGGTAAACCAGCCTAGGTTGTTCAGGACTGACCGATTCAAATCAAGAAGGCCAATAGACAGCTTCCATGAGGAGTGGAAGGTGAAGCCCGCCTTGTGACCGTAAAGGACCACAAGGGAGGTAAACCAGCCTAAGTTGCCCAGGCTGACTAACTTGAATCAAAAAGGCCAATAGACAGCTTCCATGAGGAGTGGAACTTGGAACCTTGTGGTTATCGAGCTAACGGTCTAACCAACTTGGCCTTCAACTCTGAACTGCATGTTATGCCTGTATTACTCTCTGTATATGAGTCCTAATGCAATTTAACATTTTCCATCGATTTCTTAATTTTTCAACAGATGAAAAGCAAGAAAGATGCTGAGAAGGCTGAAGCTCAGCTGCTTGGTAAATTTGATTATGCTTGGAACACAGATAGTAATGGTGCAAGGCGGCATAATGATGTCTTCTGCAAACTTGAGCGGATCTCAAGAGCTTCCCTTCTTCCTGCTATTATCAGGAGGTTTAAGTTAAAACTTCAAAAACCAAAGGGTGTCAAAATCGAAGTTTGCGAGCCACTGCCCTTGGAGAATGGATCTTATTTCTATGGTAACACCAAGAGAACTCATTCCCTTCCCCAGATTTTAAAATTTGGGAGATCCCGGCCAAGAGTAGTTTCAGTTAACTTTGGCATAAATGAGAATCCCGGGACTATATGTGGAGTTGCCCTTGGCCATGGATCAGTCTGTATAAGGTCACCAGTTAGGGGAAATAAAAGATGTTTTGAACACAGGGGGATGAAGGTTAATGGATTGACTTCAAAGTTAATTGCAGAGGGAAATTCACATCTGCCTGCTGAGAGTTTATCTGGGATTTCAGACACTCTCATTTGTGGCTTTATCCTAGAAGATGGTTCCTCTTGTATGACTAAACCATTTGGGAAAAATAAAAGGTGCATTGAGCATAAGGGAAGGAGAGTTCCCGGTTCCCATCTTCATAAAGAGCATAATATGTGCAGTCCAATTGCAGAATCTCAAAATGTCTTCAGTTCGTCTGATACTGATTTAGATCAAGAAGGGAATATGAAAGAAGGCTGGAATGAAAGCAGAACTGAACAAGATGATTCTCAATCAGTTATGCATAGAGATTGCATTACTATTTGTGGAGTAAATCTACATGATGGAAATTTTTGCACGAGGCAACCTTCAGCCGGAAGAAAGAGGTGTGAGGAACATAAAGGTATGAGGATTAAAAATCCTAATACTCAGCATCTTAATCCTCCCAAAACCAGTGACGAAAGAAGCGATTCCATCACAACTTGTGGGGCAACTTTGAGCAATGGTTCCTCTTGCAGAAGGAAACTTGCTGAAGGTAATAAGCAATGTTGGCAGCATAGAAGCATTAGCTGAATCAAGGTCAGGGAATGAATGCAAATTACTATTCAATCTGTTCAAAACTTGTCTTGTAGTTGTGCCTATGGGGAAGGCAGCCAAAAATGTGGGCAAGAATGGAGGATTGGGTATAATTCTTTGCCTATATCTAGGTAGCTATCTCCAGAGCTCCATCATAATCTCCATTAACATACCCATATCTACAATGAAATACAACAGCATGATAGACAACATAGGACTTTTGTGGCAGTACAAGGCCACAGTTTTATTTATTTATTTATTTATTTTTATACAAGCAAAATGATGGATGTTTTTGTTTGTCCAATGACTTTAGTAGAACAGATTATTTATTCTGTAGTCAGGTTTCTTGTTGTGGAGCTAAATTATCCCAGTTGTTTCTGTAATATACAGGTATCAGTGTATCATGTTTTATTGTAAGAGCAAAGGATTCTCAAGCTGTAATTCATGTTTTCTTACTGCATAAAATGCATTATTTAAAAGAAAAATCTTTTTTTTTTTTTTTCATGAAATATTTCTGATGTATTCTTGTGTTTATACACTATTGTCTATCATTTCCAGTATATACAGTGAGAACCAAGATCCTATTAATTTCCTTGTTATGCCAACTGCCAAGTCAAGAATTCCTACAATAATCCAGTCATCTGTATGCTATATCATAAAGAATGCAATATACATAATACATGTACTATAAATAAAGAATGCAATATACATGTCTGCATGAGTAGCTCAGTTAGTTTGACCGATAATATTAAAGTCTTGTTTTAACTCAGTTAGTTCGACCGATAATATTAAAGTCTTGCTTCAGCAGTAGTGTAGGGAATAAGGATACCTAAATTCCAAGGGCTAATTCAGTATTTATAAAGAGAAAAAAAAAAAAAGAAGAAAAAGATGAAAAGATAAACACAATTTTCAATGGTAGTTTCAGGAGTTATCTAGGCGTCGCCTAGTCGACGCCTAGGCGTCTGGTCGGTGAAGACCGAACGCTTAATATGCTCGCCTCGCCTAAGTGTAGAATACAACCCAAAACTCCACAAAACATACATGGGCAGAACCTACACACTAAGGCGAGTTGACCGGTGTAATTTTCAGTCGGAGAGGTCGCCGGAATCTGCCTCACGCGCCGGCGCGTGGAGGCGCGTGGTGGCTCTGATGGCGGCGCGGTTCAAGCTCCGGCGTCGTCCTCCTGTTCCGAGCAAAACCTACTCCCTCACTCTGGCATGTTATCAATATATACTAGACTTCTCACCACCTTAGGAAAAACTATTCATCTTCTCAAGACAACTTTAAGTAAATAGGGTTGTGAAAAGGCTGCCCAAGACAAGATATTTTCAATATACAATAAATACTAGACTTTTCACTACTCTAGGAAAAACTATTCATCTACTTGAAGTAAATATGCCAGCAAAAAGGCTGCCCAAGACAAGATATTTTCAATATATATATATACTTTTTATTTATTTAATACTCATCGCCTAGGCGGTCGCCTAGTCGACTAGTCGACTAGGCAGTCGGTGGCATCTCGCCTAGAAAGTCCGCCTTGATAACCTTGCTGGCGGTAGTTTAAACATCAAACTGTATAGGTAAACAAAATATGTCCTTAGAATTAACAATGTACAATACTACAATGTTTTAATAAGGAAAAATAAAAATAATAGCAATAATTAGCGTGCACTTTCTATGTCCTCTCTCTGACCCATTCATTTCCAAACTTTATTAGCAGGTTAAAAGCCATACACCATATTTTGTATAAATGTATACTGGGTTCAGAATTTGTAAAGATTATTAACCTTTTCATTTGTCAGCTACTCTTTTTTTTTTTTTTTTTTTTCTCAGTCCACTGGTACTGAGGATTAGATATTGTTTTCCTTGGAGATTTTGTGGATAAGCTGGAGTAGGATCATTTCTAGTTCTTCACCATTGCTCCATTCATGAACTTCAGCTTTGATAAGCCCTGGGTTGTTAAATATACACTCCCATAAAGGAAATCCCTTTCTCGGCATGATATGATCACGGCTGTCAAGCTTCAAGGTGGGGCAGTAATCGCCTCTGCCATCTCCAAGATAAATGAATCTTGCATACGCTTTCTCTGGAATAGAATCTCGGATATGCTTCATTACAAGACCCTGGAATCAGAAACCTAACAATTTTACAAGTCATAATGACAAAAACTGAGAGCATCAGCATCACTAATGGAGTAATGATATGCTCAATTATCAGCAGTGGTCAGGAAATTGGAATGAATGCAACAATTCAATCCTTCAGATGCAGTATCAGCTTTCAATGCAAAACAAAAAGTTTGTGTACAAATATCCACTTGTTCACTATAAATCCAACGAAAAAAACTCAATCTTTATCAAGAAATTCTCAAAGTTAAGATCATTACATGCATCCAAATGCTTTTGAAAGAAAAATGTCAAAGATCATATGATGATACGAATGGAAAAATATAAAACAGGAAACTGAAATGAACACAAATAGAATACCTTGCACAAGTTGGGAGGGCAGAGATTACAACTGTGCGGTGATGCCAAATCATGGTAAGGAAAAATCCGCAGCCTACCTTCTCCATCTATGGTAGTCGGGTTACTTATAATGTCTGAGAAACAATCATATAATCCATGATGCTTCAATATAGTAGCAATGTAATATTGATTTGCATCACTAACTACTTTTAAGTCACATCTGAAACAACCGCTCACTGTCAGCCCAGGAAACAGCAAAAGCTATCAACAACAATTCACATAAAAAAAAAACATTAGACAACAAAGATGACTGCTGAGATAAACATATATACCCAAGTGCATGAGCTGACTTAATGGCTGAAATGGTTTGTGGATGCAATGGGACATGCTTCAAACACTCAGCTATATCTTCAACAGTCTTCCCCTGTGAATGTATTTCCTCCACCATTCTATCCTGGATAGAAGTAGCTCCATGTCATGAGTCCAAAAGAAATCAGAGCAGTATGTAAACATAATTTTTTATGGGAACAAGTGTCAAATAGGCCACTGAACTTATTGTTTTTGTGCAATTAGATCACCGAACGTAAAAAGTGTGCAATCAAATCATCAAACAACCAACATATATGCAATTGAGACATTTTTATGATTTCTTTTAATGCAATTTAAGTTGAAAACATTTCAATCTTTCATCCCAACTAGTATGACAGAAAAAATTGCTATTCTTAGTACATGCCAGTAAGTAATATGATCAGATTCCACCAGGAAAAATTGAAAAAATGTTCTAATTGTACATATTTTTACTTGTTTAATTACACACTTAATGGAAGAAGCATAAGTTTAATGGTCTATTTGGCACTTTTTCCTTTTTATATAATACTCCGTATAACAACTTTTTATTATTATTAGCAAAGCCTTAATATAAGTTTCCATATGAACACCAGAAAAAAAATGCATTTCAGACTAGAAAACAAAAGTCAAATTCAAGCATAACAATACTCTACTCCGTAAGATATACTTTCAACAAATAATCTTTCCCTTCAATTATGGTTTTTTTTTTTCGTTAAAGAGAAATCGAAACTTAAATGTTTGCTCCAAAGATCATAACTTTCTAGCAATGGATCAAACCGTAAGCAAAAATACTGCTGCAAAACATTGAAGCATTAACTAAAGAAGCACTAACCATTAGAGAGGTCCAAGGTAATGTGAGGCGGAGCTGATTGAACAATTGGGTGAGACCCATATGCTCAATGACCCATCTATCGGAGTCGTCGTTGATTAGCGTCCGATCGAAGTCGAATATTACGACGATTTTGACTGCCATTGCTCTCCAGACTAAAATGAAGACTAACTGTGTTGTGTAACGATCGAAAAGGCAGAAGGCCGACGATGAATCCTGAAAGCTTCAAGCTCCTCTCAAGTCTTGTCTCACCAATACACATAAGAGAGTAAGAGTTAAAGCTTCACTGATTGATTGATTGATTCCTCTTATACAGTGAAGCAATTTTGTAAATTTTTAATCGGAGAACCGAATCTTTAGAGTATTATTAAAGTGAGTTTTTTGCACTTTTGGTCCCACGACTATAGTGGCACTATCAGAATTGATCCACGACTTTCAGGCCTTGCAATTTTAGTCCATGACTATTGTTTTTTTTGTAAAAATGGTCCTTCCGACCATTTTTCCGTCAGAATGTCACCGGAGGAAAAATTCTCCATTTTTAACAGGGGTAAAATTGACATTTGACTTGTCTCCAAAAAATAAAAAAATAAATAAATTGGCGTTTGACTCTTGCGAGACTTACGACTCCTCTTATTCACCAGTCACGAACCCTACCTGTGAAGTAGAGAAAAACACTGATTTGCAGTGCGATAGGTTGAGATTAACAAAACTACTACTGTTGAAACCATTGCTAATCTCTTGCATGTACTGTAGAGCTCTCTCCATTTGATTCATTCTGTCAATTTCGTTTTCTGAAGAACTTGGTGTCTGTGTTGTTCATTTGGTCAAAGTGGATGGATATAAGACTGTTTATAAAAGGAACAGTAACAAGAAAGCGATTCGTTGGATTCAAAGAAGAGAGATGTTGCGATTTTCACGTACATATGGTTCCATCTTGTTTACTAAAAGGGGATGGCACCAACACACCAGAAGGATGCTGGGATCTTGACCCTGCTGCTACTCCAGATGAACTTCTCCATGGAGTAGATAACATATAGCATGAAAGATCTGCACTTTTACAGTTTACTGGGCTTTAAGATGATATGAAGAATTCCTTGTACTATTGAATTGCAGCAGGTTTACATACATGTTCAGAATTGGTGATTTTGATGTTTGAAATATGATTTTCTGACTGCATATTCAGTCTTCACCTTCTTAAGTAGAAATGATCATTACTTTTTCTTAATTATTATATCTTCTTTTTTATAAACATTTGAATGAATTGATGTGAGGATTTGGAAGCAAAAATGTTATGGTGTAGGTCTGTTTTTCAATTATGTGTAATGGAATATATTTTGCTATTGAATGAAATGGTTTGCTGCTAATCTGATATATTCTACTGTATATGGTATGCAACATTATCTTCTGCATGTTGTCCTTGTTGTGATGTTTTAGATTACCCACAATCAATTCTCTGTTGTGTTTTTGAAACAAAAAATAAGCCATTCATATTAATCAACCAAAATGTCCAGACCAACAATACAAGAAATAAATATGGGAATGCAATCAGTGTAGACCACCCTGCCCATCATAGGATATTCTAGTGCCTTCCTAGCAATGTCATGCCCAAAAATAAGCCATTCATATTAATCACCCAAAATGTCCAGACCAGCAATACAAGAAATAAATATGGGAATTCTCTGTTGTGTTATGCTCATCAATAGCCAAAAATCCATCAACCATAGACAAAGAAACCATAAATAGTCTGTTATATTAACCATAATCAATGTTTACAATTTTAAGACAACAAAACTGCATTGGCAGTATAACAACAGTTTTGGCATCATAATTTGACAAAATAACATGCCTAAATTTTGGCATTACCAAAAAAACCATTACCATTACAGTTTTGGCATTATCAAAAAAACCATAAACCATTACATCAGTCAATTTTACTTGGAACTAGATTTGGTAGAACACTTTCTCTTAACTGGAAGTTTCACTCTAAAATTAGTTTTGTTCTTGGCTTTAATTAGTGGGGCTTGAACTTGGGCTTGAAGTGTTTCTACATGTGCTTGAACTGGTGGGGCTTGATCTGAATCTCCTTGGGGTTGAACTGAATCTGATTGGGATTCTTCTGCTTGGGCTTGTTCTTGCATTCGCAGTATAAGATCATCCAAATTGAATGAACTTAAAGCAATATCAAAATCATATTCTTCTTGTGTTAAAACATCACGGGCTCCCATTGCCTGAAACCATAAACCATAAAACATAGACATTAAACTATAAACCATAGACAATAAACCATAAACCATAAACCACTGCTTACCATTGGAGCTGGAATGTAAACATTAGGCTCAGTGGTGTTTTCAACAATTGGCTCTGAAGTGTTCTCAACAGTTGGTTGTGTTCTGTTATGAACTTGTGGTTGCTTTTTCCTCAATAATCTTAACTTTCTCCACAATCCTAGGGCAAATACTGCCAGTCCACTTACTCACTTTTTCCCTATTGGCAAATAGCTTGGTCATTAGCTGCTTTCTGATTAATTCAAGGCACAAAATTATAGGTTGTTTACGTGCATCAATAATTACAGCATTAAAACTTTCACAAATATTGTTCACCAACATATCACAATGAGAAACACTTGTGAAATGTGACCTACTCCATTCTGTTGGACTCTTATTAGATAGCCAAACATATGCATCCTCATCCAATTGTCTAAGTTTTCCAAGTGCAGTTGTATATTTGGGCACAGTTGTTGCTTTGGCACAGTCCCATAGTGCATCCTTCAATGCTTTTCCTAGAAATCCCGCAACCTTCATATTCCCATGGAGGTGCCTAACACAAAATCGGTGCTCAACTCTGGGTAAAACCACTTCAAATGCTTCTATTAAACCCTTTTGTTTATCTGACATGAAGGTAAAGTCATGTTCATTCCCCTCACTGATTTCTAAGTCTTTTTTTAAGAATTCTAAAAACCACACCCAAGACTGTTTTGTTTCACCCTCAACAATGGCATATGCAACAGGGAAGATTGAGTCATTAGCATCAAGTCCAACTGCAGTCAGAATTACCCCCCCAATTCCAGACTTCAAATGAGTTCCATCCACTCCCAAGATTGGCCTACAAAATTTGAAACCCTGCCTATATCCATCCCAACACATGTACAGTCTAAGGAATCTGTTTCCCCCACAAATTTCAACATTGTCACTGAGTTTCACCTCACAGATTGTCATAGGATTAGTCCTGATAATTTCTTCGCGGTAACTCCAAATCTTTTTGAAATTATCATCTAGATTACCCCTAATTTGAATTTTAGCTTTCTTCATTGCTCTATAAGCTTGATGTGTACTAATATGAAACTTTTCATCTTTACACACCTTTTGCCTAAATTTTTCCATTTTCCAGTCATCATGATGTGCAATCTCCTTACTCCACCTCTTTGCAACTACAGTTGACGTTGCTCTTGAATTCTCAGAAGTCCAACAACATCCATCATGTTTATCTGTCAATCTAAGGATGCTCCAATTCAAAGAATTCTGTTGCTTTCTTAGAGTTACTGTCCAAGGACAACTACTATGCCTACATTTAACAACTAGTCTGACTTTGTCATTCTTAACAATTTTTACATCTTTTCCATTATTAAAGGCATAATTGGTCACAGCTTCCTTAAACTCTTCTTTGCTAGAAAAAGTCAATCCTAGGATAAAATGAGGCTCTTTCATATCAGTAGCTGCCCTAAAAACAGGCCACTTACCACCCTCTACATCACTATCTGAGTCTTTTAATGATGCATCATCAGATAGATTAGGTTCGTCGAAATTTCTCTCCCAACTATTCACACCAACTGGTTCACTAGAAATACCTTCTACCCCACCAAACTCAACTGTAGAATCCACATTCTGATCAAATTCAAAGTCATCAATATTTGATATGTTACCATCTATTTCATACTCACTATTAGTATCATCACTTTCTACATCACCGTCACTACCATTATCACCTAAATTATAAAAACAATAATCAAATTGTTAGAATAAGAAATGAATAATTAGCTGCAATTGCTGCAATTATGCACAACAAAACACAAAAACAATATGTTCACTTGTAATCAAATTCACTAGGCAATTTTAAATATTTATCACAATTTTTTAGGACAATGTCTGTGGGTACTGAAATAACATATGGTAACTCAATAGTGCCAGATTTAGATTTAAGCCATTTGTTCCAGTTTTCCAACTCCAAGATCTATTGCCTAATTTAAGCCATTTGTTCTAGTTTTCCAACTCCAAGGTCTGTTGACACTGGAGTGTGGTCCCCATTCACAGAACACATGCCACATGTTACAAGTAAACATTATAAATTGATTACTGGTCCCCAGAACACATGGTCCCCATCTATAATACTCCAGGTTTGCAATACACTTAATATAAAAGCATATTCTGCACTTTTCGTACTAGGCAAAAAGTATATAATGCACTGTAAACTAGTATAGACATATCAACAAAAATTCATGGCAATAACATCATACAAACACCCACAAATATAGACACAAATATTTTACAAACTAAAAGTTTGGACATTGAAAACTTACCAGATTGCAGCGAATCACTCCTCAACCTACGCGAAATCATTCTTGAATTTTTCGCACTGGAGAATCAAGCCACGAAATCCAAGCGTCTCTGCCGCCTCCTCCGGAGGTCTTCGACTGCTGTTGTATGGGTAAAGCCAAGGTCAAGGTATTTGTGACTGTTGCAGGTAGGGTTCGGGAAATTGGGGGGGGGGGGGGGGGTTATTTTGTTTGTTGTTTTGGTGAATAAGATAGAGGAGTAGTAATATTTTTAAGTCAAACGCTTAATTTATTTATTTTTTGGAGACAAGTCAAATGTCAATTTTACCCCTGTTAAAAATGGATAATTTTTCCTCCGGTGACATTTTGACGGAAAAGTGGTCGGAAGGACCATTTTTACAAAAAAAACAATAGTCGTGGACTAAAATTGCAAGGCCTGAAAGTCGTGGATTTATTCTGATAGTGCCACTATAGTCGTGGGACCAAAAGTGCAAAAAAACTCTTATTAAAGTAAATGGTGACTATTGATGTAGTATTTCTTTTAGTTCATGACTTTCAATTTGATTAAAATATATATCTAAATTTTTATTTTTGATCACAAATAATCTCTCGTTAATTTTTCTGTTAAGAAAATGTTAAATTTAAAAATATTATCGTCAAATTAAAGATAAAAAATAAAATAATTAACAATGGAAGAAGAATTGCTATGCTCCGATCATACCCCTTCGAATTTGGGACCATCCATATCTCTCCTTACAATTACGGAGCGTTTTGTTGGAAAGAAGGAATTAGGAAAGAAAGAAATTGTAATTCGGTGAAAAAAAAAAAGGTGGAATAAAATAGAAATTCAAATTACGTTGTTTGATAGGAAGAAATAGAATTATTGGAATTGAGAAGGAAATGAATGTTATAGAGACTAAAATACCCTTGTGTAATAATAATAGTAATAACAACCAAGGGTAGTAATGTCATTTCATATGTCTTTCCTTTCTCAAATTCATTGAATTGCAATTCATAGGGATACCCCATAAATTGCAATTTAACAAAAAGAGGGAATTGAAATTATGTGGAATTGCAATTCCCTCCAACCAAACAATGTAATTGACGCATTCACTGAATTACAATTCAACTACAGCTAAATTACAGTGAACCAAACGCCCTGTAACTGCATAACGTTTGTACAAGTTCGATCATTATCATTATCGATACCAGATAACGTATAACCATGATTGTTAACTATTTTATTTTTTATTTTTAATTTGACGATAATACTCTTAAATTGAACACTTACTTAACAGAAAAACTAACGGAGGACTATTTGTGGTCAAAAATAAAAGTTGAAGTATGTGTTTTGGTCGAATTGAAAGTCGATGACTAAAATGAGTACTACCCCAATAATCAGAGGACCATTTAAACATAGTGTTAATTGTGACAAGAAAATAAAAATCAATGATATAATATGAAAAAATTTTAAAAATAAGACTAAATATAACATATAACAATAACATAATAGTCGATGATTAAAAGTGAAATTTTCTTTAATGAACTAATTTGCATGTTAACATAGTTTTGTTTTGTTGTTTTTTTTGTTTTTTTTTTTGTTTTTTTTTGTTTTTGTTTTTGTTTTTGTTTTTTTTTGTTTTTTTTTTTGTTTTTTTTTTTTATCTACTCCAAAATGGTTCTAAGTTTAACTTTTTGTGAATACTTGTTTGAGCCGGTCAACTTAATGTGAACAACTTAAATTGATTAATTTTATTGTGAGCTATGTGTCTTTATTGACTAAGGTTACAAGACGAACTTCACTTGAAGTGCAATTTCTGATAATGATTGTGGGCTTTTGAAAGAAAAATTGTGTCTTTTTATGGTTAAATCAACTCAAATGTTTTACTTTTCTTTAGTTGTACCTGTACAACAATCATTTATACCCCTATAAATACCATGCAAACACATAGGTCCTATTTGGTAAAAAATTGGTCTATAGGTCAATTTGGCTTATTTGACCACTATTAATTGTTTGATTTAATTAAAATATCAATATAAATGTTTGGTTAATTAGCTTTTTGCAACTCCAAAATGCTAAAATTCAAAAAATTACTCAAACAACTTTTTCAATTAACTTTTTGAGAAAAGAAATTATACCAAACAGCTAATTTACCAAATATTTTTCTACAATCAACTAATGTTATCAACTATTTATACCATTTAATTAACACAATCAGCTAACAACTAACAGCTATCAGCTAACAGTCATTTTACCAAACAGGGCCATAGAAAACAAGCAATCCTCGTTACTTGTAAGCGAAGCTCCCGTAATAAAGGAACTATACAGGTGACCTCGGCACATACATCGGCCAACCCTTTGTATTCGGCTTCAGTGGACGATCGGGCTACTGTTCGCTGCTTCCTTGAAACCCATGAGACCAGGTTAGACCCCAAAAACACAGCATAACCACTAGTGGACTTCCGGTCAACCGGACAGCCGGCCCAGTCCGAATCCGAGTAAGCATGTATATCAGATGATACGGAAGGTGAAATGCGGAGACCGTAGTCAAGGGTGCCCTTAATATAGCGAAGCACACGTTTTAGCAGCCCCCAATGCTCCTCTGTGTGTGTATGCATGAACTGGCATAAACGGTTGACGGCATAGGACTGGCCGATGATGGTGAGATACTGCAAGGTCCTCGACCAAGTGTTGCGCACGACCCAGGTACTCCTCCGTGGAACTGTCACCTTGACGCAACGTTTGAATCTGCCCAAGCAGATTAAGGCTCCGTACCTCCGTCGACGATCCGAGAGCTGTCTCTGCCGCCATCCACACGCCACGTGAGGTCGCCTGGCCGAGAGCAAGGTACATGACTTCCTCCGAGAGGGAGGAAATCAGCAACGAGAGGATGGAGGCGTCTTGCTGCACCCACATGCCATACGCCGGATTTTCAGTGGAGGAGGCGGCATCGTTTGGATTGTCGCCGGTAGAAATTTCCAGTTGGGGATGGACATGGCCGCGTACCATCTACAAAGCCGAGGAGTCCTTGGCCTCGTAGGAATGGTATAACCTGCGTTCGCCAATATAAGTAATTCCGGTGCGTTAATTTGAGCGACACAAAATGATGTGCACTCGTGAGGGTATTGTAATCGGCGTTTGGGGAGGAAATGGTGGTGGCCGTGAGGGTGCGCTCGGAACTGCCGTTCGACATAGTCGACGTGAAGAGAGAGAAGGGTGGGAGGGGGATTATGACTGGCTCACTGATACCAGATGAGAGTGAAAGCGATTGATTATTGAATAACTGAATCAAGAATACAAATATACTCTCAAGAGAGACCTAACTAATAGGCTAAAGACTAGGACATTTATTCTATGCTACACATTATACAATAGAACATATAACATAATTAATAACATAGTCTAACAGTGTTCAACACTCTGTTTCTTCCTTTCCTTCCTTTCGTCGTCTGTTTCTCCTCTATAAATTTGGGCGAGGTAAAACATGATTACCTTTCTCCTAAATAACTGAGACATTAATTAGCACATATTTGTATCTTATTATGTGGTATGGATTGTGGTGTTCAAATGGCTTTGTTCAAGCTCTTGCTCTGTATGTCCCATTGCTTTTGACTCAAAATCAAATACCCGTTCCTTGATATGGAATAAATATTTATCTTAAGAACGTATATAAATATATACGCCTTTTAGTTTTTCCTATTTTTGGTTTATTTCGTAACTGAAGAGTGTGCTTTTTCTTCTAATCTGTTTATGTTAATGTTAACAAAGAACAAAATGATTAGTCCAAAAGATGTGCCAACAATTCAGTAAAGGGATTAATCACCGTGTCACACTGTGAAAATCTTGGGTATACAAAAAAAAAAAAAAAAAAAAGACTAGCACTAGCAAGAATGTGGAGGTGCCGGAGCCGGATATAGATGAGAGATACTGTGAGCAACGTAGCAAAACATTTCTCCACAGCCATAGTGAGTGGCAGGTGCACAGAAAAGGTATTTTTTTCCCTTAAAAAAATTCTATTATTTTTAGTTTTTTTTAATGATTATTTCATTAATATTCTTAAACATAAATTTCTGGTATATGGCTTTGTGGAACTGCCTCAATTGTATTATGCCGGTAGTCATGGGATGGACATCATGGGTTAAAAGTCATACCCCATATTTTGCATAAATGTATACTGGGTTCAGAATTTGTAAAGATTATTAACCTTTTCATTTGTCAGCTATGTTAATTGGGGAGACAAGGAAAAGCATCTGATGGGCCGACCGTTCTCTCTGTCCCTCATGTCTGTTTCTTAATTGCCTCTTAGCGGTTGACAATCTCTGTTAATAAAGGCGCACTCAGATAAAGCTTTCCTTCTACCTTTGATGGTTAAAGCTTTGGTTTTCTGCTTGGCTAAGTTATATGTAGTTACGTACTCTTACTCTTTATGCTTGCAGGTAGTTCCTATCCCATCAGCCATTGCATCTTCTGTTCAAACATTATGCTTGTTTGTGAAGACTATTCTAATGTTATCATTGCTTGAATTCAAGCAAATAATTGCTCAATATTACTCGTGCGATGTGCGTGTAATACATGAATAATTTTTTTTTTTTTTTTTTATATACTTTCTGAAATGTTTGGTGGAGTGGAAAGCAAGATATTAGACTAGGATAAATTATTTTGTCTTCTCCAAGATCTTATAGTAATTATAGGAAGATCTTCAACAGTCATGCATTCCTCTTAAATGAATGCAACAATTCAATCCTTGAGATGTAGTACAGATTAGCTTTCTATGCAAAACAAAAAGTTTTTGTACAAATATCCACTTGTTTACAATGAATCCAACGAAAACAAAAACCGTAAGCAAAAATAGTGCTGCAAAACATAGAAGCGTTGACTAAAGAAACACTAACCATTAGAGAGGTTCAAGGTAATGTGACGCGGAGCTGGTTGAACAATTGGGTGAGACCCATATGCGCAATGACCCATCTATCGGAGTCGTCGGTCGTTGATTTCCGATCGAAGTCGAATATTACGACAATTTTGACTGCCATTGCTCAAAAGACACATTAACATGCATCATGGTTCACACATTGCACTGTGAACCCAGTCTGGTATGAAGATTGTACGTGCTTGAAGAAAGAGAAAGTCCATCATAAATTATCTTGCTACGTCGCACGAAGATCCCGTAATAAAGGTAACATTTCTTAATTTCGAAAATGGTTTAGGTCCGAAGAGAACTTTTTTTGGGGTACATATGAAGAACATGAATTTAAAATGCGTTTATGCTACTAGACTATAATGTCTTAGACAATATAAGCCTAAGATTTGAGCAGCCTATATAATTGCTACAACCTCAAACAAACAAACAAACAAAAAGGTTGGCTTTGAAAAACACCAGCTTCACTCTGCTCCCTATCATCAATCATCATCAGAGGATGGGTTCTCGACCTCACTCCCACTCTCTGAATCGTCTTTCTGTAGGATCGTAGACTCACCACCCGATAATTGGGAGTCGTTGTAGAGGTTGTGCTTCACAAACTTCACTTTCTTCCTCTCCGCTTCTCTCCCTTTCCGCTTTTTCTGTTTGGGTTCTGCGCTCTGCATTGTGTGGGCAGCAGCAACAAAGGCGGCACTCATGGATTCCTTCATCTCTTCATCATCCTCATTCTCGTTATCCTCTTCATCGCTCTCATCTTCTTCTCCCTTGTTATCGATGTAAAAGAGAAGATCTTCATCCGATTTTTTACTGCTACTCTTGCGAACAGGTTGCTTCGTGTCTTCATTAGCATTATCTATCACAAGTTTGGCACAGATTTTTGACATATTGTCATCGAAAATTCTTGTCCCGTGGCTTTCTATATCAAGGATCCACCCTGGATATGTGAGAAAACAGACATTTTATTAACACTATATATGTTTATTAAACTAGTAGAATAACGAGTCTGCCAAAACTAGGGGCGTTACGTACTGCACTAACACTCATCAATTCAAATAATAAACGCAAAATCTATATTCTTAAGGGAAAATGGTGAAATAGGCCCGCGGACTTTAGCTGAAAAGTCAATTAGCCCCATCAACTTTTTAAAAGTGCAATTACACCCATCAACAATTCATTTTGATGCAATGAAGTCCAAAAATCGGTAAATGACCTGCTAGGGAACCGGCCATCCGGCAAAAATTTCAGTCAAAAAAGTGATCGGCGATCGGCGAACCGTTGCCGATCACGGAGAAGGAGACCAAGGTCACCTTCTCAACTGGAGAAGGCAACCCAGATCTGGGTCGCCTTCTCCTTCTCCGTGACCGGTGACCGTTCACTGGTCACTTTTTTGCCTGAAATTTTCGCAGGAAGGTGGCCGAATCCCTAATGACCTGTGATAGCATGTCATTTACCTGTTTTTGGGCTTCATTGCATCAAAATGAATTGTTGATTACAAATTTATGTAAGTTATTTTACTTATTGTCATCCACATTATATCATTGTGCACCACACAGGATACAATCTAGTATAGTAAGTAACATCTTTGTATATTTTGTAAGGTAGCAATCTTGGATTGAGCTTATACTCAACTAGAAACAACGATTATGCATCAGAAATACTTACTCAACAGTGCAGCTGGGGATGCACCGTTGGGTTCATTAGCGTTGCCCTCCTTGTCTATCTCATTTCTGACCAATTTAATTATTTGAGAAGGTAAACTCGAAGCAGAAAAGGCGCTGGAATACGAGACCGCTTTCTTATGGTTCCCTCGTTTCCTGCAGCCAGCCAAGCAACGAGAAAATTCAGCAATGTGCATTATGCAAAAAAATTTAGAGACGAGAAATCTGAATATTCATACCTATACAACTGTATCGCTTCAGTGGTGACGATCAATCTTGCCATGGAAATACCTCGAACGAACATGTCTGGTAGCTCTGTCATTCGCTTAGGCTCAAGGAAAGAATAATCCACTAATATCAAGGCATCAAATAAAAGCTCCCTAAGAAACATCTCGCCCTCGGCAGTCTGTTTGAGACAAAATATATTGAGTTAAAGATCAAAAGTCCTTGGAATTTTATTTTAAGAGAAGTAAACTTGGGTCGTCTTCTTCCAAAATATCTTTAAATTCCCATGACTAACTAGCAACTTTTACAGGTGGATTAAGAGACAACAAACTGAACTATCATAATGGCAATACTCAACTAGGAAAACAAAATAAGAGACATCAGTACATAGAATTTCTGCATTTAAAATAAAAAGTTGAAAAGCTGATTCATTTGAAGGAGAGAAGTAGAAAAACATGGAATTGAAAAGAACATCTGACCAGTAGGGAGGCCGTTGGTAAAGATGGCTCCAGCAGCATCATTAGAAGCGTCCCTGAACACGTGTGTAAAAGAACTTAAAGTTCATCTTACAACCAGCATAAAATGTAGTGCTAGATCACATCAACTTACAAACACAAAATTTATGAAAATGTGACTGATAAGTGAATGAATTGTTCTTGTGTAGCTTACAGCAAAATAGTGCATAATGAGATTTCACGGGGGGCGTAAATCTTGCTGACTCACACAATTAGATGATTACCATTTCCAATCAAATAAACCAAACTACATGAATTGAATAAGTTTATCTAGCATTCTAACATAAACGGCTGGCACTTATTCCGAATTTCAACAAATATTCAGCCACAAGGAAAAGATCCAAATGTGTAAATGAACTATAAACAATACGAATATCAATACTAACCATAAAAGAAGGGATTCTGAAGCCTGCTAATAGAACACACAATCCAGGACCTCATCTCACTCTGCAACTTCTTTTTCGAACCACCTTCATTAAATTCGAAGCACAACTTAAACAAAAACGCTTCTGCAATCACAAAACCAGCCAACTCATTCAGTTCTAGCTCTCCACCACTAATCCTTCCAACAGCTTGATGGCTCAAAAGCGGAAAAAATTCTCTCAAACTAGCATTCCCATCTCCCTTCCCCTTATCCCCAATCCAAACATCAACTAAATCCCCTACCGGCTTAATAAGACCCTCCATATCATCAAAGTTACTGCCCAGCCCCTCACAGCATACATTAACATACCCAAGAATTGAACCAACCAAATCCTTAACCTCTTCTACCAGTTTCTTCTTCTTTTTCGGTTTCATCTCAAGAGCCTTGAAATCAACCATAAACCGAAACAACTCATACATAACTGGCGCAATCAACACAATGTTTTTCCATGAATTAAATGAAGCGGAACGAGCAACAATAAGCTGAAACAAATCTTTTATGGACGCAAACCAATTCGAAGGCCGACCATTTTCCGTTGAACAAGAACTCCGAAAAGCTAAACCCGAATAAAACCAGATTGTTTCTAGAGGGGGGTTGGGTTTAGACAGCAGTAATTCTCGAAAGTTTGAGCTCAAAGATGAAAACTTTTCGGAATTGGGATCCCAGGGAGTGTCCAAAACTTCTTGGATTAATCTGTTTAGCGCAGTTTGATAATTTTCTCCAAGAAAGCAGTCAAATTCGTGGCATTCGATCAGTGTTGAAGCCATGGTTGCTCCAGAGTTAGAACTCCGGGATGAGGCTAAATCCCTAGGGTTTTAGAAGATCCTCTAGTGTTTCAGCTGAGCTGTCTACGCAATTCTGTATGTGCTACGTGGTAGTTTCTTATTGGTAGATAAAGTGGGGTCCGTGGCACGTGGATCAAGCCTGGCCAATCAGACACTGCAAAACACGCACGTAGAAATAGAAGCAATAGAACCTTCGGAACGACGTCGAATTGGCACAGTTTTTTCCACCAGATGCTTCATAGTAGAACATGAACACTGATCAGTATAAACGGTGATTCGTTTCTAATTGAGATCTCCGAAATTTCGGTAGAGAGAGAGAGAAAGAGAGAGAAAAGTTTTATTAGACAAAAATGCTTAAATTCAATAATTTGGTATTGTTAGTATTCTTGTCTCTGGTAGTGCTATCATCATGGCTACCAATTTCACAGTGTGCAAAGAAGCCAGTTGGCGTGGCAAGAAAAGAAGACATTCCATATATTAAATGCCAGGTCTGTGAGAAGCTGGCATATCAGCTATACCACCAAGTTCAGAGCAAACAAGCTGAGATCTCACCCAAGAAGGTAACTTTCGTATCTGGGTCTCCATCCTTTTGCTCATGGTTTACTCCCCAATATATTAACCATGGCTAAAAGGGGCTTTTTCATATTCAATTGGACATCTCAAGATATAGGTTGGGTTTTTTCCCTAATGAAAAATTGATTTTTTTTTTTTAAAAAAAAAAAAATGATAATATGCTGTATCATTAGTTCTGCTTTCTATAATGTAATTCTAGTTGCTATATGTTTAGCAAAGGCTTTATTTAATCCAATTATCAGAGTACATAGTCACAGTGCATGATCATAAGCTTTACCAGACAGGGCCAGTGTGTATTTTGTTTTATATTGGTTTGGTTTGTTTAGGGACTATGGTTCTAGGAAGATGTTTTCTTGAAGGATAAGGATTGGTGCATTTGTTTAGTTACTTGTCTTTCCCCTGGGTATGTAATGCAATGTATGATGATTAGGATAAAATGATTGGTTGCAGATCTCAGAGTATCAGATAATAGAGATTTCAGAGAATCTTTGTAATCTAAAGAAGCAGGAAGCTGATTGGATTCTCAAAATTGATATTGTAGAACAAGGGGATAAATTGGAGGTAAGGTTCATGTTTGGCTTTCCTTTCTAATCCTGTTGATTTTGGTGTATGAAAATTGTAGTTCTTCTGGTTTCTGTTCAAATCTTTTGTGTTCTCCATTCATTAAGGAAAATTCAGATTGATTGCAAATTGGTTCCTTAGAGGTAGAATTGGTACTGTACTACTGTCGGGTGCAGGGAGTCATTTTGTTAAGTACAATGTAATTCTTTACAAGTTATTTGTTTTCAATTTTATTTGTTCAGCTTGTGGAACAAGATGCAGAAGGACAATGCAATTCAGAATGCAAAACTATTGAAAAAGCTTGTCAAGAGGTAGATTTCTCGCCAATTTCTGTTCTTTGGTCTTATTTTGTTCAAAGTAAGAAATAAGTCCAGATAATTGTATAAATATGTGCATGCATGCTGTAAAAAAATTTGGCCACCATAATTTCTTGTGCCAAAGCCCATGAGACAATTTAAGTTGTTCATTCAATTAGGAAGAATTTACATTCAGTAACTGCAATACTGAAAATCTCTCCAAAAGGTACATCTGACCATTTGTTTTCTGTGGATTCATGAAGAGATTTGGTGTTTGGTAAACAGCTGTTAGCTGATTGGGTTAGTGGGTTTGATTAGTTGATAGCATTAGCTGATTGTAGAAAAGTGTTTGGTAAACCTTTGAGAATTGAGATATTGTCCAATGTGGCAAATCTAGTTTTTCTGCAGTAGTTTTTAGTATTGGCTTTTCCTTCTGGATTTAGAACTTAAACTTCCTGAAACGAGTAGAGTTATAATTTTGACCATTTCTTCTCTTGAAATAAACAGATATTAAACTTGATGTTGAATTTTGCAGGTTATGGGCTTCTCCGACACTGATGTGGCAGAATATTTGTACACACACAAGCCCAAGCTTGATTCTCTGGTTAATTTCCTTTGCAAAGATGTTACCAACGCATGTAGTAGGAAACCACCACCAGTCCCCAAGGTGATATATATGTTTCTTTAATTGTTATTCTGTCATTACTTTCTCACATGTAGTAGGAAACTCTTAGTTTTGCCCATTGGCCATTGCTAACTCTTTCCTCTTCTTCTATACAGGATAGAACACCGGGGGAACCATTTGTTCCAAAATCCTCAAAAGAGGCAGAAATGGAGAAGCTATTGAGATCCATGGAGGTAATTGTTGTTGCCTAACTCGTATCACATTCTTCATTGCTCCATTAAGCCTATGAATGCTCTATATCAATATTGTTCCTTCAGGGTATGCCGGGAGCACCTGGCATGAAAATGTACTCCAGGGAAGATCTGATGAACCAAAACTTCGGTGGTGATGAAGATGCAGACGAAGATGATGATGATGATGAGGCTGAGGCTGACTTCCCAAAAAATTTGGTAAATACAAATCTCTTTTATTCTTATTATTAATCAAAACTTTGCAGAAAGAACAAAAAACTGAGAATTCAGAATTTTGTTGCAGGGTAAAGTTCTTAAAGGAAAAGAAACTACGGAGACGGATTGGAAGCAGAGGATTACCAAAGGAATTAAAGATGCAACCAAGACTGTGAAAGAACATAGTACCAGGTTGTCTTACAGATTAAGGAAGTGGTTGAAATCAAAGAAGGAACAATTACAGAAGCCTAAGTCCAGTAAAGCTGAACTCTGATCTAGTGGCCAACAATATAATTGATGATAGGATGTGTGAGATTGGTAGTAGTTAGTGAAGGCTTTTCTCATTTCTCCTTTCCTATTTGTAACTTTTGAGTTTTGATACCAATTCAATCAACACTGCCCATATAGGAACTGCATGTTTTTTTTTTTTGGCTCAACACGAAAATATATAAAGTGGGAGCACCCTTAGCTTTTTCCATTTCTTGAATCAATCTACAGTTGAATGTTTACAAACACATTTGCATATTCCTTAATTACAAATTTCAAAAAAAGAAGAAGATTATGAATGACTGCAAATTGCACCAGCAAATACTGTGTAATCCTTGATCATTGTTCAAAGGAGCAGTGAAGCTAAGGATGCATCTCTTGCACCCATCTTACAGTTGTACATTGTCTGTATCAGTGAAAAATATGAAAAATTATATATAGACATGCAAGAGATGAACAAAAACTCGATCACAACTCAAGATATATCTGAGATTAGCTTTTATAATCAACATGAATAATGGGTCTTACCACCTTGATTAATTGCAGTTCATAATAATTTGTTGACAACAAGCTAAGAGGTTCCACATTGCCTACTTCCTTCTTCCAAACTGCAATTTCCAGTAAATGCACATAGTTTTAGATGTAGAAAGCTAAGCCCCATATATATCTTAAATATATAGATGCTAGTCAAGGACTCTTTACACACACCAACTTACATTCATTCTCGTCCTTCATAGTCAGCATCTTCAATTGCTGTCAAGTAAAGAAAAGTTTTATCCGGATGCTAGCACGACTTCATCTTATACCTTCAATACAAGCCAACAAGTTAAGATAGCAGTAGTACAGGAATCTTTATATGCGTGTGTGTGTGTGTTGGTAAATTAACAAGAGTAGAAATGAAGATTTGAACCCAAAACCTGATCCAAAACAGAGTAGTTTTTATTCCACCAAGTAGAAATCATCATTTGTCCTAACAATTCATTAGAAGCGTACTTGAAAACAGAGTAGTACAGTGCAGTGAATGATGCATCTCCAGTCCTCCTGCATCCATCTTATATTAGAGATGTCCATTGTCAATCTGAAAAAGCAAAAATGTTATAGACATGCAAAGATGAGATGAGCAAATTTAAAACTCAGATTGAAATCAAGAAATACAGGATAGAGAACACCGGGGGAACCATTTATTTGTTCCAAAATCCTCAAAAGAGGCAGAAATGGAGCCTAACTTGTATCACGTTCTTCATTGCTCCATTAAGCTTATGAATATGAATGCTCTATATCAATATGTTGTTCCTTCAGGGTATGCCGGGAGCACCTTAACTGGCATGAAAATGTACTCCGATCCAGGGAAGATTTGATAAACCAAAACTTCGGTGATGAAGATGCAGACGAAGATGATGATCATGAGGCTGACTTCCCACAAAATTTGGTAAATATTTAATTCTTATTAATCAAAACTTTGCATGCAGAACAAGAACAAAAACTGAGAATTCAGAATTTTGTTGCAGGGTAAAGGAGAAGAGACTACAGAGACGGATTACCGCATTCTGCAATGACAACCGCCATTTAACTAGTATGTGCTTCAGAAGTAATTATATCCAAGTGAGGATGATTCTTGTTGCTATGTGAAACGGTGAGAGAGCCGTTTGTTTCCCATGTGGTACCAGCCAGGCAAGCTTCAAAGGAGCAGTGAAGGATGCATCTCTTGCACCCATCTTAAAGTTGTACATTGTCTGTAAATGCAAAAATATTCGTTATCAGTGAGAATATGAAAAATTATATATAGACATGCAAGAGATGAGCAAAATCTCGATCACAACTCAAGATATAGCTAATATAAGATTAGGTTTTATAATCAACATGAGCAATGGGTCTTACCACCTTGATTAATTGCACTTCATAACAATTTGTTCACAACAAGTTAAGAGCTTCCACATTGCCTACTTCCTTCTTCCAAACTGCAATTTCCGGTAAATGCACATAGTTTTAGATGAAAGCAAACAATGTAGAAAGCTAAGCCCCATATATAACTTAAATATATAGATGCTAGTCAAGGATTCTTTGCGCACGCCATCTCACATTCATTCTTGTCCTTCATAGTCAGCATCTTCAATCGTTGTCAACTACTATAAAGATAAGCTTTATCTGGAAGCTAGTTAGCTAGCGCAACTCCATCTTATACAAGCCAACAAGTTAAGATAGCAGTACAAAAATCTTTAATTGTGTGTGTGTACGTAAATTAAGAAGAGTAGGAATGAAGACTTGAACCCAAATCCTGATCCGGAACAGAGTAGTTTTTGTTTGCCACTACCACAAGGACTCTATTTATTTTCACAATTTCTTGTGCCATATCAGCCAATGTTTGAGCTCTCAACCTAAAATGCAAAAATATCTGGTCATGTATATTGGTCAAGAAAGACCATCCTATGTTTCCTGTAGAATCATAGCTCACTAAAATACTCACTACAAATAGATAGGGGGATAAAATGATGGTTTAGTATGAACTTACCTTGAATAGTGCAAAAATTTATGGATTCCAAAATTCAGGACCAAACAACTGGCTTAAAGTGATCTCAGGGAAAAAATTGGGGAAATCCCTTTCCTTGGATAGCATCACACTAACTTGTTGCATAGTTTGGTGACATTGAGGATTGGAATTCATACAAGAGACTGCTATCTCTGCAACCAATACAAGTTGTTTCGCTTCGTGTCTTTGTGTAGTGGAGAGTCGAGGGTCCAACATATCCTTCAAAAGAATTCCATTGGTTGCTGAGAATGAGGATGAAGAAATGCATGTAACAAGGTCACCCAGATGTTTCCCCATAATCACTTCTAGTGTTACAACTCCGATTTGAAGCTATATACTACATCACATTTGCAGTTTACCTCCGCAGTGTAAGCTAATTCTGCAAATAAATGCCTAAAATATTAGAGCACATATAAGGTCAAAAGGTAAGAAAAGAGAATAACAAGAAAGAATAGTGTAGTAGACCTAGAGCTCTGTATCCCATGGTTCCAGCAAATGTAGTCCAATTTCATGAGCCTCGTTCTACAGTAAAAAAGGTCGAATGTACAGTACATGCATTTGAGTATGACCAATTACTTTTTTTTTTTTTAATAGGTAACAACCGGAAATTGCAACTTGTAACATTGAAATAAAAATTGACCTGAAATGCTATTTGCTGTTGTGCATGTAATAGTACACTCTCTTGATCGGGTTTAGGTTGTAATGCACCCTAGCTAGCACGTCTAACAGTAAGAGTTTTACCACCCATCTTAATCCCATTAAGAGCTGCACAAGCAATCTCAATAACTGAAACATCTTGATAAACACAGAAGCCATAGCCTTCTGAATTTCCGGTTTCCCTATCTTTAACAAGATTAAACCCTCTAAGTGGCCCAAAAGATTCAAGCAACTCCCGAATCTGATTTTTAGTGAAATAATAGGGAAGACGCAGTCAGGACCCTCAAGTCCACCAGAAGACCCTGGAGCTAACCCAACAGGGTAGCTGCAAGATTCATGTTTGGACATGGTTGACTAGGACCAAGAGTAGCAACGAGAGATGGATTATAATCAGTAGACTTGCCTTACTGTGATATCTTTCCTTGATATAGAAGCAACAGAAAAACTTGAAAACAGCAGTGCAGTGATTGATGCGTCTCTTGCATCCATCTTAGCGATGTCCATTGTCAATCTGTAAAAGCAAATATGTTTTAGACATGCAAGAGATCAGATGAGAAAAAACTGAGATCGAACTCAAGAGATAGCTAATATTTTTACCATTTGTTTCTGATCGATCTACGTACTGGTTCCAAGATTGCCTACTTCCTTATGCATCCTCATGTTAAAACCACATACATTGTTCCAAACTGCAATGTCCAGTAAATAGCCATAGTTTTAGACAAAAGTAACAAATGTAGGAAGCTAAGCCCTATATATAACTCAAAGAGATGCTAGTCAAATAGATAGGGATAAAATGACAGTTTAGTATGAACATACCTTGAATACTATAAAAATTTAAGGATTTGGAAATTCAAGACCAAACAACTGGCTTAAGGTGATATCAGGGGAAAATTTGGGAAAATCCTTTTCCTTGGATAGCAACATAGAAACTTGTTGCATAGTTGGCCGATATTGTGGATTGGAATTCATACAAGATATTGCTATCTTTGCAACCAACATGAGTTGTTGTGTGACATTCCTTTTTGGAGTAGGTAGTCGAGGATCTAACAAATCCTTAAAAAGCATGCCATCAATTGCTGAAAACGAGGATGAAGAAAGGAATGTAATGAGGTCTCCAGGATGTTTCCCCATAATCACTTCAAGTGTTACCACTCCAAAACTATACACATCAGATTTGCAGTTTACCTCTGCAGTGTAAGCAAACTCTGCAAATAAATATCAAATATATTAGAGCATATCTAAGGTCAAAAGGGAAAGAGAATAACAAGTAAAAAATATATAATGGTGCAGAGCTGGAGCTGTATATCCCATGGTTCCAGCAATTGAAGTCCAATTTGATGAATCAAGGCTCAAAAATCTTGCTGTCCCGAAATCGGATACATGAGCTTCATGCTCAGAATCGAACAGAATATTTTTTGCTTGATATGTCCCGATGAATAATAGGAGGTAAACAATCATGGTGCATGTACGATAAAGCTTTAGCCACAGCTTTGACCACATTTATCATTTCCAACCATCCTAACTGGAGTGCTTTATCATCATCACTCAAAATTTGTGCTAGACTCCCCCCTTGTAAATACTCATAAATCAAGAATGAATGTCTATTGTGAGCACAAAAGCCATAGAGCTTCACAATATTTCGATGCCTAAAATTTGTTAATGTGCTTATCTCATTTAAATAACTTATGAGATCATGCCACCTTTCATCATCTTGCATGCCTAATGTACGAAACTTCTTCACGGCAACTATCTGACCACTAGGAAGCTCAGCCCTAAACACACTTCCCTGCCCTCCTACACCAATGCAATAACTAGAGTCGAAGTTCCCTATTGCTTCAATTATGCTTTCATATGTCATCTTTCCATCAAAGCTCCATACTGTGAACAAATCTTTAGTAAAATCTCTTTCCTCCTCCACTGTATTTCTCTTCTGTCGTGGAAAAATAACAAAAATGATAATAACCACCATAAATAGAAAAAAACTTCCCAAGACTACTGATATGATTACAACCTAATTTCTATTTTTGTCGTCACTTTTGCTGAGCAAGGAGCAAGTCTTTAAGCCAGAATGATTGCCATATAAACCTTTGTTATTACTTAAGGCGGAATATGGTGCTTGTAAAAATGCTTTGGTGTTAGGGATAGGACCTTCCAAGTGATTGTAAGATATATCAACAGAAATTAAAGTTGCACATTGAACAATGCTTGACGGGACGGAGCCTGACAGATTATTGTGAGATAAGTCCAATGTCTGTAAGTTTGTTAATCCTCCAACTTGTGGAGGTATCTGAGAAGAGAGCATGTTGTGACTGAGACTGAGTTTTTCAAGGGATTTCAGGCTTAGCATATCAAGAGGAATCTTGCCCACAAGCATATTTCTGCTCAAATTCAATGTAATTAGGCGTTGGCATCTTCCAATTTGTGGGGGGGATTGAGTCAACAAACTTATTAGAAGCTAAATTTAGTTCTTCAAGCCAAGATAGTTCCCCAACTTCTAGTGGTTTGTTGCCCGTAAGTCTGTTGTTATCTAGCATATATAACAAACTCAACTTTCCCAAATTGACAGGAATCCTTCCAACCAGCTGATTTAATGAGAGATCAAGATACCGCAGTTGAGATGCATTGCCGAGTTGAAGTGGGATATTTCCAGAAATTCGATTGCCCGCCATCTTCAGAGCAGTAAGTTTTGGACAAAGAGCCCATTTTGATGACAGTCGACCGTAAAAGTTATTGTAGCTCAAAATCTATGTAATCTAGGTTCGGATAAATCCCAAAATCTTTTGATATGTCTCTGTAAAGCTCATTGCTTTCAAGCCTGACTCGGTAAAGGGTTGTACAATTCTTGAGGCTTTTAGGAAGTCTTCCACTAAATTTGTTGTTTTCAATAATTAATGTTTCTAGAGACTGGAGAAGACACAAATTCTCTGGCAAAGAACCAATGAGATGATTATCATTAACTTCAAAATTCTTCAAACTAGTGAGATTACTGAACTCAATTGGAATAGATCCATAGAGCTGATTCTCAAATAGGGATAAAGTTATCAACCCTGACAAGCTCCCTATTTCTGAAGGGATTTGACCATTAAGATTATTTGAAAATAACCATAACCTTTGAAGTGATTTTAATTTCTCCAACTCCTTAGGAATGGATCCATACAGTTGATTCCAATTAAGGGATACACTTATCATTTTTGACAAATTTTCTATCTCGAAAGGAATTTGACCACTAAAGTTATTTGAAAACAGCCATAGGTCTTGAAGATATTTTAATTTTCCCAACTCCTTAGGGATGGATCGTGAGAGCTGATTCTCTCCCCGGGATAAATTTATCAACTCTAGCGAGTTCCCTATTTCTGTAGGGATTTGACCACTAAGATTATTTAAATACAACCATTACTCTTGAAGAGATTTCAAGTTTCCCAACTCCCACTAGTACAAAACTGCAGATAGGCTACCATTGTAAAAGACAATAGGCGACCATTGTACAATGGTCGCCTATGAGAGGCTCGCGGAAAGTCATGGACTTTACGCGACCATTTTGAAATGGTCGCGCATTGTTAGTAATATGCGACCATTCTTGACAAAGAACGATCGCGTATTGTATTTATTTATTGGACAAGTGCTGCACATGAGATTGCAGGGCAGTCTCCCATTTTCCATTGACCACACACCTATCAAGCTTCATCCAAATTGCTTGTTCTTCCCTCCTGCCATTCCACCAAGTGAAGTTATTGCCATAGAAGCTTACTTCCCTTAAATCAGCCTCATCCAGACAGTTCTGGAACTCAGTGCTCTTGTTTCTGTCATATGCATTTCCCCCCTTTTTTTCTTCAGGCCTCAAGATACAATTAAAATCTCCCATCACTGCCCAGAGTTCACTTCTACACCATCCCTCAGCCATAACTTTCATCTTTTCCCAGAGTTCACCTCTCACCCTCTTACTGCAACTGGCATAAACAAAGGAGACCAAAGCTTTGCTATTGATTTCTGGAACCCCCATGCTTACAGTCACAATTTGCTCAGTTATCTCTTCAACTTTCACCTCACTTCCATTTCTCCAAAGTATCCAAATGTTATCATTGCCAGTACACTTGTCACTACTCCATCCTAGTTTGATGGACAAGTCCCTGATTTTCTCAACTGGCCTAAAAGGCTCCAGCACACATATCATACTTGGTTTATGGATTCTCACCAGGTTCTTCAATCTGTGAAGGGAGCCCTGGGAGGCAACTCCCCTCACATTCCAGCATATAAGCTTCATCTTTTCTTCCTTCCAGGGGTGCCTTTGCTACCCCCAACAGGAACCTCAAGGCCTCTTGCAACAGCCTTTTTCTTAGATTTGGTGAGCCTTCTTCCTGGTGATGCATTGATTTTCTTGAGGATTTGTTGGTTCTCCTCCTCAACTTCTTCCTTTCTAACATCCTCTTCTTCACTTTCCACACCCTCACTGAGCTCCCCCTCCTCCATATAGTCAGGATCTCCTATCTCATCATTCTCCAGCCTTGGACCTTGATCATTTTCCTCTCTTAAAACCCCCTCCCCACTCCTGTCCCTCAAAGTGTGGAAAGTATTATAGTTCCTTCCCACATTTTCCTTTCCTTTTTTCCCCACAGGTTCAGCCTGCCCCACATTCCCTTTTTTTGCCTTTAACTTTTGGCTTTTCCCACTCCTTTTTTTCCTTCTGAATTTCATGTCTTTTTTCTATGTTTTCTGAGACTTTTACCTCTCCTTCTTTTGATTCTTTCATAGCCTCCCCCCCTCCTTGACCCCTTATTTCAGCCTGTCTGCTGGTTTTAGCCTGCTGCTGAACCAGTGTCTCACTTTTTTTGATTTGGCTCCTTGCTTGATGGTGCCTTTTGTCTATTTCCAAGGGGTTGTGTTCTGGCTTGCCCCAGATTAGGGCCCTGACTAGTAGATGTCCTCCTGCTGTTCCTGCTACCACTTCTGTTTTTCCCTTGAGGGCCCATTCTGGTAGCAGGTCTTCCTCTATCTGGGAAATTTCTCCCATCATTTGAAGTACCTGCATTGTTAGCTGGAATACCCCTACACACTTCTACAGAGTGCCCTTGCTTGTAACAGTTGGAGCAATAGTAGGGTATTCTCTCATAAATCACTTTTTGGACATACCCCACATCCTCCTTGCCAGGGATTTTAGAGAAACCTATAAAGAACTCCTCCACTGTGGGTTCTAATAGGTCTATCTCAATTTTCACTCTTGCATAACTAGGCCTAGTGTAGTTCAAAGTTGCATGGTCAGCAGCTAAGAACTTCCCAATAAGCTTGCAGATTTGTTTCAAGACAGATAGGTTGAATAAATTTGCACTTAACATGGGTAGCCTTACCCAAACTGGGGCAAGGCTAGACTCTTTTTCTGTTGAGAACCCTAATGCCCATCTGAACAGTCTCATAGGGCACTGACCATTGAACAAGATTTGGTCCAGCATTAAAATCCTAATACAATCCTCCTCATGTGAAAATGTTAAGGTTATATGCCTTGCATCCAACCAACCTATCACAAGAGTGCCCTTTAGGATGTATTTAGAAGCAAAATGCTTCCTAATCTGTTCCATATGGGGCTTGCCCCTAGAAAATTTTCCAATTAGCAAATGATCTTCAATTTGGTTTAGTTGCTTAACTTCCTCATCATCTAACCTAATGGCAGTCATGCCCCTGTGCATTTCTGTGTCTTTTTCACCAATTACAGCCTGGGGGATTCCTGCAAAGTCTCCTCCCCCAGATTTGGTAATATTTTTAGCAACACATGAAGCAAAACTTTGCACCCCTTGACCCCCCAAATTACCTGCAGGTTTTGTATTATGGGTTATGCTAGGGCCAGCATTATTTGGTCCCCATGTGACATTACCCGCAGGCCTCTTGGCATTAACTCCTACTGTCTGAGTATCTCTGTTTGTGGGAATTGGCTTAGAAGCATTCCCACAAACAGTTGTCGGACAATTGGGGTCATTGCCAATTGGTTTTTTCATTGGGGCATTTTGACAAACATGTTGCATACCTGACTGAGCATTCTTTTTGTCCATTGCTTCTGACTTGTCTGTAGCTCCCTCCACCACCTGAGACCTTATCTCAGGCCTCTCCACAGAAACCTCCGCTTCTTTATTCAATTGAGGGGCATAGACATCCCCTTTCAGATTCCCAGGCGGATTAGTTTCCTCTTTCGATTCTTTATTCATCTGAGGAGCTTCGGATTTTGTCTCCCTCAAGCAATCGGAGACATCCTTCTCCCCACTCTCTGCCTCAGAGATATTGGCAGGGGTTTTTGCTTCATTCTCCAAAGGCTCTTTGCTCGCAATATCCGCAATTAGAAGCCCTTTGTACTTGGTTTTTAGTTTCTCCATAACCTTTCTCTCCAGATTGCAGCTTCCGGTGATTTTCATTTGGCATACCTTCTCAGCTTCCTCAAGAAATCGATCAGCGAGGAGGTCTTCCATCAAATCTTTGTTATCCGCAGCCTTCTCCATGATTTCTTCCAATTCATCAATGTCAAAGAAGATCTCATATTCGCCCACCCGCAGCAGGATTTTCCCCTTCTTCGATTCAGTCGAATCATTCGATTGTGTCAAAGAGATACTAAATTCTCTTCCAGAATCACGCTTCTGCTTCAATTTAGTCGATTCCGCAGAGCTTTCATCCTTCAATTGGTTCTCAGCTAGCACAGATCGTACCTCATTGACAAAAATTCCAGAGGTCACTTTTGACCTAACTTTCACACCTCCGATCTGCTCTGTAGCCTTCTCCGATTGATGATCCACCTCTGGATTCGGAGACTTCTCCTCAAGACGAGCACGCTGCTCCATTTTGTTCTTCTCCGGCGACGTAACCGTCGCCGGACCACCACCGGCCGGCGGCGGAGCGACCTGGTCTACTGGCTAAGCTGCCAGTCTAAACACAGGCCATACGGCCAATTAACCAAAAAATGATATTATTTGGCTTTTTTGTTATGAAATGTATGAGTTTAGAAAAAATTAAACCAAATGAACATTTAGTGTAATTGCAATGGTTAGTGGAATTCCTAGAGAGAGTTTTCCCTAGAGGGTTTAGGTTTTTTTTTTTTTTTTTTTTTTTTAAGTCATACTTTATTAATAAAAAAAGAGAGGCTGAAGCCAAAAACAAAGTTCGAAAGGACTTAGACCCCACATGACCTAAATCCAACTAACTAATCTAAAAAAGAGTAAAAAAGATTACAGACGAAGGCCCCCGGGGCTATAACATGCGCGGTCCCAAGTCCCATGCTAGCATAACACTAACACTAGACCAAATACTAGGCTAAGTAATAATAAATGAAAAATACAAAAATAAAAAATGCTACCAAGTAGTATGTAGTTTGTAGACTGCACGCCAGCTCGATGAATGAGAATCAAGTATAGTATGTCAGCATCACAGCCCATCATATAAATGTGTAGATGGGCGACAAGGGGAAAAGCCACCTTGCGTATCACGCGCCATAGCACTTCCCCGCCAGCTACACCATAGCGTCCCAGCACTATAATGCAATCTGACCGGGCTGCAACCACAACTGCAACATCTCCCGGGGTGCTATTGACTGCCCTGTTACAAAGCAATAATACACACCTCCCCATCTAAATATAAAGAAAATATCGGCACACAGGCCTAAGTCCAGAAATAGCATAAGTAGTAGAAGGCAGTTCACAGGCTAAAACTTCGGCACACAGACCGATATAAAAGAAAACAGAGCAGCCAATAGCATCAACCCTGATCAGCACCAGCAACGAACCAGAACCAACCCTAACGAGATTAGCTACTATGGGCCAGCAGCAAGCCTGGACTACCGCCAACGGATTTGAAAAACCCCTACCCGGCCACCGTTCAGCCCGGGCCAGGATGCAATTTCTTACCGCTTGCATCAACGTTGAGGCCTGGTCTATCTTAACAGATGCCTGCAAAGGCGGAACCAAAAAGCCTATAGACCAGTCAATGCCTCGGAGGCCAAAGAAACAAATACCTGCAAAGATAGAAAACAAGATAGAACATACAAGCATCCTGTTCCCTTGACCCCAACTATTTCAATCTTTTTCATAGGGTGAGTGTATATGTATTAACAGGCTGACGCGAACAAACAGCAGCCTCCAAATTAAGACCCGTCCCCCCCGGAGCCCAGAAGGGACTCAGCTACTATTTGCCAGCAGCAAGCCTGACCAGGTCAACGGATTTGACTAGTCCTGCCCGGTGCACCGTTCAGCCCGGACTAGGGTGCCATGTTGTACCGCCAACACCTTACGTTGAGACTCAGTCCCGACCAGCAGAACCTCATCGCCTCCAAGTCCCGTCCCCCCCGGAGCCCGGAAGCGACTCGGCTACTATTGGCCAGCAGCAAGCCTGACCAGGTCAACAGATTTGATTAGTCCTGCCCGGTGCACCGTTCAGCCCGGACTAGGGTGCCGTGTTGTACCGCCAACACCTTACGTTGAGACTTGGTCCCGGCCAGCAGGACTTCATAGCCTCCAGGAACACCTCCCACACTCTCTGTTTTTAGCTCACCTCAACTCTTTCTTTTCGTATCCATCCCTCATTTTACCACTCATTGTTTCTCTCATACTCTTTACCTCATTTCTTTTCTTTCTTTTCTCGTTTTCTCATATCCCTTTTCTTTTTTCGTTTCATTTTTTTTTTTCAATTCTCCTTCATTATTCATCTCTTTTTCATTTTTCTTTTCATTTCCAACATGAAGTAATAGTACATGAAAGAAAAATAAGGAACATAAAGAAGCGGCTCGCAGGCCAAAATACAGGCACGCAGGCCCACACAAAGTACAGGAGTTCAAGGCGGGTCAAAATCATCAAAAACCACCGATGGGACGTCATCATGAACAAGCAACGCACGCACCCTCGGTGGTAACTCAGACAAATTACAGAAAATAAACTCCCCATCCTTATCCCCAACCCAATCTGCCAATGCAGCCACCTGGAGATTACCCTGCGGCAAACACTGTAGAACCGAAACAGATGCGCAGGAATAAAGAAACCGGAGTCGTGACACTTCAGAGTCAAAGACCCATGGAGTAGGTGTAGTGGGGTCTACACATCCCTTAAGTTCAGGCAATACAGATTCTAGGACCAGGGACCTAAAACCCTCGGCTAAACACCATTCAAGAGAGCGGTGCATAACATGGAAAAAGTCCCGAAACCTGTCGACTGTCGAAATGGCTAGACCGTAGCAGAAACCACCCCCTCGATTACGTACCAAGGCAGCAGTCCCACCCAACGACTCAGAATGTGCAAAATTGAGCTTTATAGAACCATCCGGAGGAGGATCCCATCTAACAGCGCGAACCACGCGTCGCGATACAGTGGAATCTATGTAGGACAGGATGACCGGCCAATTTGGTGGCAAGATGTGTTCCTGCGGCCATCGCCTAAAGAGACATTCTGCCACCCCTTTGGCAACGGCATACACCACTCGAGGTACACTCGGTGGCCCTCTGCCATGTAAGCATGTGTTCCTGTGCTTCCATAACTCCCAAAGGATAAGATAAGGCAACCTGCAAACAACAAAAGCAACAAGACGGTTACGTGAAACCACCCGCTTCCACCCAGTCAAGAGCGTCCGTAGACCCCGATGACTGAACCGCAAGCCGAGTGATCCCATAAAAAATCCCCATACAGCCCTAGCAGTGTCCCCCACATAAAAGATGTGATCAATAGTTTCCCTAACAGGATTATTGCAGCACCAGCATCTGGAAACAATAAGGTGCCCAAATCTAGCCATGGCATCATCAGTGGGCAAGCGACCCCTTAACACACGCCAGGCAAGAAATGACACCTTAAAGGGCAAATGCTTATGCCAACATGCACTCAAAAGAGGATCTGAGTGGACCGGTTCAGGTCTCAATAAAGATTTTGCAGAGGAAAAAGAAAACAAATCGTCCGTAGCCACCCGCCAAATAGGGATGTCAGCTACTCTTTGACCAAGCCGAGACATGTCAGCCTCCAGTCCAGGCGGCAGAAGATCATCATACGGTGAAAGGTCCAACTCCCCGTTCTGAATGAAGTCAGGCAGTAGATCACCAGAGTACTCCACCCCCGGGAAGGGGTAAAGGCGCCCTAGTATGCCGAGGCCGGACCAGTTATCCCACCAGAGATTAACATCCCCGTGAGTCAGGCGCCAACCTAAGACTGCCTCTACCTCATTCCTGACGCTGAGCATTCGCTTCCAAGTGTGTGAATCGGAGCTTTGCACTAGTTTCGCCACCGGGTGAACTCAACTGCAGTACTTAGCAGTCATGAAACTCCCCCAAAGTGAATACACCCTGCGGAAATTCCACCAAAGCTTTGCACTAGATGCCCGCACCGTCAGGTCGAGATCAAGGAACCCCACACCACCCTCTTTTTTAGGTAGGGAGAGCGTTTTCCATGAAGCCCAATTATAGCGTGCACCTCCCGACTACCTCCAAAAGAAGGCGGCAAAACACCGCTCCAGGTCCCGAATAACCTGCTTAGGAGGAACACAAGCCGCAAAAAGATGTAAAGGAATAGCCTGCAAAACAGAAGTAATTAAAATTGCTTTCCCCCCTTAGATAGCAGCCGCTGCTGCCACCCAAGGCATTTGGCCTTTACCTTGTCCACAACAGATGAAAAATAAACACACTTCTTCCTCCCCACATAAATAGGGAACCCAAGATAAGTGAAAGGGAAGGATCTATGAATGCATCTAGTGATGTCCCCAATCCTACGAATTACCCGATCCGAGGTGTCAGGATGCATATAAAAAGCACTCTTAGGGAAGCTGACCATTTGGCCAGAAATCCCCTCATAATCTTTTAAAGCACGAATAACTTTGCAGATTGCCCCCTGTCTCCCAGTACTAAAAATAATAACATCGTCAGCGTATGCTGGAAAAACCAGGATACCCGGTCATAGGCCTTAGCCATATCTAGCTTCAGCACTACATCCTGGTTTCCTAGCGTAATACCATGGCACATCTCAGAGGCAAGTAAAATATTATCTGTGATTGACCGCCCCGAGACGAAACCACTTTGATGAGGAGACAACAATCTCGGGAGAACAGAAGCCAACCTGACTACCATTAACTTAGTGACAATTTTACTACTAAAATTGCACAAGCTAATTGGCCTATATTCAGCGAATGTCTCCGGGCTTGTTTTTTTGGGCAATAGCACAATAGAGGTGTGAGTAATAGACCTGGTGAATTCCCTACCAAGGAAGTAACTCCTGACCATATTAACCACATCCCCCTTAACAATTTCCCAACAAGATTTATAGAAGGCCCCAAAAAACCCGTCCGGGCCTGCGGCACTAACAGAATTCATGGCAAACACAACATTTTTAACCTCATCCTCCTCAGGGATAGCAATAAGCATAGCATTCTCATCATCTGTAACCAAACGCGGTACACAGTCTAGTTTAGACAAATCAAAGTTACCTGCCTCCGTAGTGAATAGACTTTCAAAAAAGGAGACAGCATTTTGTGCTATCCCCTGTCTATCCTCAATCCATTGTCCTGTGTCATCTTTTACCTTATGAATATAGAGTTTCCTTCTTCGCTCTTTTACCATCGAGTGAAAGAACTTGGAGTTCCTGTCACCCTCCTGAACGGCCACCATGCGGGCCTTCTGTTGCCAATATTCTTCTTTGATTGAAATCTGTTTTTGCAGAAGAGCAGCGCTCTCCTTATAGTCAATGAGTGCCCTATCATCATCTGGATTCTGTTGCAACACTTCTTCTAACGCCTGCACCTTATCTTCCAATTCCTGCAACTTAGAAAAAATATTACCAAAGGTGTCCCTACTCCAAGGAGCAAGGGCCTTCTTTAACCTGGACAGCTTAGTAGCCAAGACATACATTGGAGCACCCTCAACAGGCGCTTCCCAACTTTCTCTAACCACACGGTGAAAATCCTTGTGCTTGGTCCACACATTAAGAAAGCTAAAGTGTTTTGGAATAGGTTGGGCAGTTATAACCTCAGAAGTAACAAGTAACGGACAGTGGTCAGACGTGGTCCTAGACAAATGCATAACGGATGTCCTGAATATCGATTCCCACTTCGAAGTGTAAAGAAATCGATC